CCTTTTGCACAGCTGTATGGTTTTGCAAAAGAGAGTCCTTAAAGGAAAGTGTGAGGTTTTGCAGAACCTCTGAGGTAGAATTTCTGGCCAGAAAGAAACATGATATATGTGATTTGAGTATGACAGTCCCAGGTTCAAATCTCTGCTCTGACTGACAAAGGAATTGGACTTCTCCATCCCAAGGAGTAACCAACACATTATGCCGGCTGGTGCTGGGGGTGATCTCTCACTCTCATTTGGAGCTGTTCTGCATTGTTTAAACACTCACTGGGTGACAATCACCTGTCCCTATGAGCCACTGAGTATGGCACTCCTGTGGCTTAACATGAAATGATTTTGTATGGGGTGGAAGAGCTCCCAGGGAAGATCAGAGCCCCAGCTGAGAACAGCCCAGGGCCTGGAGGCTGCTCGAGTTTCAGATTTAGATATGTTTAAAGCCCTGAACAGTGTTCTCTGACATGCCAGGTAAGTGTCCTGTTTGCATGGTGGTGACTGTTCTGCTGGGTATTGGGTACTTAAATTTTGTACTGGAGGAGTTGCACAGAGCTACTCACACATCTCTTCAGGTTCAGCCTGAGCTCTTGTGAAAATACTTCTTGCTTAAGTTAATTTAACTTCACCCATATCTGTGCATGTGAGTGAAAATGATGCCAGTACTGATGAATTGGATTTTTAAAGCCTGATCTTAGGAAAACATCAGCACTAGGTTAAGAGGCACATTGGTTTTAACCTGATCAAATTAAACTAATTTGATCATGTGTATTTACGAATATGGAGAGAGTTTACAGGATTGCTTGTTCCCCTGAGGATATATTTGTGCCACTTCACCTTTGAATTTTTCATCAATTAGGAATAATTCTGAGATTTTTAAAATGTACTTCCCTGATTAGAGATAAAGTAGTGAAGAGGTTCATTTTACTGCTCTATTCTGTATCATCAGAAACAACTGATGAGGGTTTTCAATCTTGTCCTGGCTACTTGCTGGAAAAGCCTTTATTTATAAGAAGCTGCTGGTGACATGTTTTCCCAGAGCAGAGACAATTATCTGTTCCAATTTATCAGGAAATATGAGATGCAAAGTGACACCTAGCTCATATATTTGTATTCAGTTCTGAAAGTGACATTAAAAATCGTGACCAGTTGCCACTTCTGAGTGACCTTGTGAATGATCAGCAGCATCACTGCAGAATTCCAACTATTTCTTTTGTCTTTATTGCCTTTTGATCAGCTCTTCACATGTGTGGATGTTTCTGAACACTGTTAGATGAATAACTTTTCAGAGTAAAGGCCATTTTTAGAATATACACAGCCAATCCAATGCTATGCCATTTTACAATCAGCGTGAATGGCACCAAACTGCAGGGGCTCACCAGCAGTACTGCCAGGGTGTGTGTTGGGATGTCAAAGCTGCCTTAATAAAACAGTAAAACTCTGTTTTAAGAAACTCTGTCTTCTTTGCTTTAAAAGAAAAGTCCCTTTAACTTCAGTGCCAGGTAGCACAAACCTGGGACATGCCTATTGGGAGTCCACTGCAGTGGCTGTGCCTGGAGGTGCCTGTGCATGATGGCTTGGACAGATTCACACGTTCTGTTCTCTTGGAAGGCCTGAGATAGTTCCATAGTTCCCATTGTTTCATTGTCTATGGCTTGGACTTTCTTTTGACTCTCGCTTTGAAAAGTGCAGCTTAAACCTTTTATGCATGATGAAAGTATTATCACTTTTCCTGCTTTATGGTAATTTTAAATTACTGACATGCTCCATGAAGCTGCGCTTTTTTTTTTTTTTTTTTTTTTTTTTTTAAATACCAGAGCTGAATTTTAGCATATATTATGAGGACAATCATAGGAAGTATCCTGACTCATTAACTGGCATATCTGAATGCCCTAAAAATGAAGGGGGGAACCCACACTGTATCCTGCTATAGAGTCATTTATTATAACCACAGAATAAAATCAGGCAGTAAATCCTCTTATGCCTGTAAATACCCTTGCTGCACAAATGAAATGGTGTGAACTGTAAAAGTTATTCATCTTCATGCTGAACTGGGGAAGAGAAGAGAGTTTATAATAGTAACCTTGTAGTGCTGTTAGCTTGTAAGACTAGAACTGAATAATTGATGTTTAATCTTAGTCTGCATCTCCCAAAGCATTCATGTTCCTGAGTCTGAAGAAGACTTCACAAGATTACTTGCAGTATTAAATGATGCTGTCACAGGAAGTGAAAGGGTCATGCTGGGAATTCCCAAAAGGCAGAAAGAGAAGAAGGATGCCCTTCAGAAAGGTTCTGACCTGCCCACAGGGAAGAGTGACCCTCTCATGCAGGATCTTGGCACAGTTCTGACATCCACCTGACATCTGTGGCAGTCAATGCACATAAATGCAATCTGCTACAAGGCAAACTTTTAAAGTCTCAAAAAAATTAGAAATGCAGTATGCTGGGACATTGTCCAGTCAGCCCCAAGTAACCATAAACTGTTGGCAATTGATGTTTATTTGTGTGTCTTTGGTGAAGTGCAGCTCCACAGGCAGGGATGGATTGCAGCACAGCAGACATGCTGGGCCTGCTCTGTGAGCTCTGTGGGATTTAAGCTTCCATGGCTGCCAGAATAAATGAATCTCAATGATAAATTTACCTCTTTAAAAACAGATGCAACTATGGATAGCTTCTTCCAAGTATAATGGAGCTAGAGTCCCCCAAGGACACTGTTCTATGTGTTATTATAGCAAATACATGTAATTTACTATAAAAGCATCCTTAGAACCATGGAAACACTGTTAAAACTGGAGGATTTCTTGGTGACTTGGACTTGGTATTTTTTATCTCTTTCTACATTATGTTTATCATTCAAGTGACTTAATTGTTAAAAAACAATGCTTGACAAGGAATGCCAAAAACATTATTAGTGCTGTGTCTTTTATCTTCTCTTCTTGCTCTCCTTTATAATTTCTCCTCTTGCAGTGTATGGCTCTGTTTCTGAGAGCTTCCAGGTTTGCCATCAAATTCATGTTTGCACTTGACTTTCTGATGGAGATATTCAGCCCTATGACTAATAAGCTCATTAAGCCTGGTCTGCACCAGCCTAAGCTGCTTTGACTAAGCCATGGAGATGCCTTTTGTGAGGGGCTCTCCAATCCCACAATTTGTGCCTTTAGAGCCTTAATTTTGTCAATTTTCTGTGTGGTTTTTTTCATCTGTTTGAAAGGCAATTATCTGCCTTGTTCCTGGAGACTTTTGGAGCCTTCTGACAGGTGAAGGGAAGTATTTACTTGTTATGATTTTAATCCTGGAATTTCAGCATGGTGATGATAAATATAATTAAAAATTATTAAATTAGTCTGCTGTGCTGCCCTCATGGTCACAGACCAAAGGCCAATATCAGGTAGGCAGGGGAACAGGCTTAGTGCTTGGCTTTGTTTGGTCGGATTTTTTAGCTTGTTTACTCACTGGAGAAAATCAGATGCATTTGTGTATTCATAGTTGGCTGCTGCTTCATCCTGTTCACAGCACTCTTATATAAGAGAAGAACAGTGTTTTAACTGGAGGTGGTTCCACATGGCAACACCAAATGAGTTTCTTAACTCTGCCCCAAACCTACCAAGAAACTGGTGGGAGGCTTGATTTTTTTTTTCTTCCTCTTAGCTGCAGGGAAGTGTTAAAATTTGCATTACCTGCTAATACACACACCTACCTGCTTATGATTTTTATCAACACATAGTCTTGACATATTGCTAGGCACAAAATATACAAGTAAATTAAATTGCTGCCTAATTTTCTAGTTTTTCCATAGGATTCAGGATAAGAGATTTGTAACACCTTTTGCGTTATTACGGCTAATTTTTATTGTAGACTAAGTTGTTACACCAAAAGTTCAGGCCTACATCATTGTTTAGGAATATGGCATCATCTTGCAGCACAGGCAAGACCCCCTGTAGCCTTTCGTGGTCTGTTTGGAGAATTTTCCATGTTGTCATAGCCTAAAATTGTCTAGATTGTAAAAAACCTGACATACTTTATTATTTTCCAGTCTTTTGATTAATTCCTTAGTGTCTAAAAAAAACCCGAGAAACCAAACCAGCCAACCAACCAAGTGAAAAACCTTGAAAAAGACTGAAAAATGTACTTCTAGCCTTAGAAAAATTCCAATAAAGGAATGACTGTCATGCTTTTATGCCTTTTATACAGCCTCCCATTGGTGATTTTCTGTAAAATGCCAACTTCCAGTCCCAAAGGCTTTTGGAGACTAACTCTGAGTAATGATTAAGCAAAAGGCCAAGCACATGAGCAGTGCCACTCAGCAATTGTTGAATTGTCAGTAGTATTCTTAACACTGTGCATGATTTTCTTTGCAGCCTCAGCTGGAGAAGTTGTCAGGTTCATGTCCTGTTGTGGAGTTGTGCTTTTCCACAGCTCCTCCTTCTAGATGGATGGAAATGTCCTTGGTTTTAAGCTGTAAAATGAAGAGGATTATACAAATTTGTTACTAGATATCACTGGATGCTTGTAAGAGTTCAGGGACATGTTGCATTTTGGAAGACACTCATTGCAGGAGCAGATTGTTCTTTCAGTCAATTTTATAATTTATCAGTGATTCACAGCTCAGTTATAATTATTCCCAGTGCTAATTATGTGTCAGAATTACCCAAAACACTGTATCAGACATGGCTTGCACATGCTGTATAATCATGAAACTGAGCTTTCTCCAATGTAAATTTACTGAGGGCTCTATTCCACAAATCCATTGTTTTAAGGGCTCCTTTCTCACCCAAGCAGGCCCCAGGATTTCATGGAAACTAATTAATCAGGGTAAGGATGTTCATGACAAGCTTTTAAGCTGGTTTTATTGCTTTACCCTGTGCAGAAAAGCTTGAAAGTACTTTGCAATCCTTCAATAATTACTGTGGCCAAAATGTATCTTTGCTGATTTATAGATTTATAGTCCATGAAAATTTATCCTGTCTCATGTAAAAATGTTTTAAGACTTTATTTTTTTTTCTTCCCAGCTTCTGGAAAAAACCAACAATATATTTGAGGAATCTGATTCTGCAGCTACAAAAAGTCCTTTGCATTTAGCTGTAAGTACGAGATGTGTAAAGCATTTGATCAGTATCTCCTAGAATAGTTCCTTAATCTCTGTCTTTGAAGCAAGTTTAACTGTGGGCTTGTTTTGAAAAAGGTGGGAAGGGATGTAACAAACCCAGGTTCTGGGCTGGAATTGTTAATTAAATTTTAGGCAGTTGAAGCTCTTGGCTCTTCCTGACTCTAACACTTGGGTAAGAAGATGACACAGACGCTGAAGTGAAATTAAATGGAAATTCACACTTGTATTTAGAGCTAGGTTATAAATATGTGGCCAAAGCTTGAGCCTAGGCTTTGCTCATGGAATGAGATTCTCTGATGTTCTGGTGGAAAATGAATGTTTGGTACACAGCAGGGTGTGGGACAGGATCCAGCAGTGCCTGTGAGAATGGTACAGACACTGGCATATCACAACAGGACCCAGCAGAGGTGCCTCACAGATAACAACTGTTCCCCTGTCCCAAGAGCTCAAGATTCACGATTCCTCTTCCCAGTTCCCTTGTGCACAATCACAGAATAGCTGGGGTTGGTGTGGTTGACATGGACATCTGGAGATCGAGTCCCACCTCTGTGGTAAAAGTAGAATCAGCTAGAGCAGATATTTTCAGGGCTGTGCCCCATCACATTTTGAATGTCTTTAGGCATGGAGGGTTCACATCTTCAGCTCTGATAACACTAACTATACACCTGGTGTAAATAAAAAGGATGCTCTGAGTATGACAGTGAAGGAGAGGAGGGCAGGCCCTACAAAGCTGAACAAAACCTTTCCAATTTCTGGCACTGTCCACTGGGGTTTTGCAATACCACCCATTTGTGCTGTTGGCCCCAGGGTGGCTGTAGGTCTGGGAGTGCATCTTCTTGCCCACTGTAGTTGTTCTACCAACAACAATTCCTGCTGGCAGGAATTCTCTGTGAAGCATCAGCTGTAAACAGCCGGTCAAGTTTGTGTTTATATTTGCACAAAAATCTGGTTTGAGAATTGCTTTTGTTTAGTTGGAGACCAGCACATGTGCTGAACTCAGCACCAGTCAGGTGATAATCCATGGAGCTCTCTAGTGAATCTGGTTTTTGAAGCAAATGTTTCCCTGTCAGATACTGTAGCATGTGAAAAATGAATTGCTGATTGACCTGTGCTGGCTTGGCAAATTATTGCCTGAAATTTCCTCACTTTGGGTTGGAGCAAATCAAGAATTGTGTAATTTCTTGAGCGCAGTGAAATTTGGAAAAATCCTCTCAGGCTGAAGAGAGAATCATAAGGAATCAATAAAACAGATTTCTTTTGTGTTTAGGAAATATTGAAAGGGCTGGATTTTATTCACAATTTATGGGAAAGGTCTTTGAAAGATGGAATTGTGTCCTTTACATGACATATTTCATAATTCTAGGCCTATAATGGTCATCATCAAGCTCTGGAGGTGCTTCTGCAGTCTCTGGTGGATCTGGATATCAAGGATGACAAGGGACGCACTGCCCTGGACTTGGCTGCATTCAGAGGACATGCCGAGTGTGTGGAAGCTCTCATCAGCCAGGGTGCTTCTGTCACTGTAAAGGACAATGTCACCAAAAGGACCCCCCTCCACGCCTCAGGTGAGTGGGATCTTATGCTGCCCTTGTGGTATAAACCTTCCCAGCTGAAGCAGGTACGTTTACTTACCTGCTGTTGCTATGCACACTTCTAAGGGGAAGAACATTCTCACATGTCCTGAGGAGTGATACTTGTTTGCTGATGTTGCACATTTAAACCATTTTTCTGCTGTTTCATTCATCTTTTTCTCCTCTACCCCTGCGGTTCAGTCCTTCCTCATACAGAATCCCATATTTTTGCATGCCACTACTGCTCTGCCCTTACCTGCTTGCCCCTCTCTGTCACCACCTACTCCTCAGGAGGTGTGATGTTTCCCTCATGACACCTTCTCCTGCTGCTTCTTCAGCCAAATAATCAGGGGAGGAGGGAACACTTGCCTTGCTGCTTCTCCTTTGGAAGAAATGTTGAAAAATAGATGTGGGCTCTGATTGGCAATGAAAATGTTTTGGTGTTCAAAACTTGCACCCATTTGTAGTGGCAGCACCACAGAAATTCACCCCCCTCCTTCAGGCTCCTCCTCCTCCTCCTGAGCCAGCCTGCAAACTTGCACTTGCTGGCAGCCTGCTCCTTTCCTCATGTGTGGGGTGTTAATTATGTAACATGCAAAATGAGCTGGGAAATGTAGACTTTGTCATTGATTTGAAGGTTATTATTTGACAGGTACCTGTCAGGTAAATTTGGAGAGGTGCCAAAGGGAATGTGTCTCCTGTGATGTTCCAGGAGGGGCTCCGTGCAGGGTAGCAGTGGCCTCTAGTGGGAAGGAAAATTAATACCACGTGGATAATTCATTCAGGACCAGACTTAATGGTCTTTTTAATCTTGCTGAAATGCATATGTATTCTGTAGTATCAGTTTCTTCTCTGTGTGTGATCATGTTAGTGCAACCTCGAAACATGAGGTCAAATAGACTTAGCAATTTTGTCTGCAGTACTGAAGGAAATGCTTGTAATAGACCCACACTGCATACTAAAAATGCTTCCTGTCTGCTTAAACTTTGCACCACAACTCAGCACATTTCTCCCCATGATAAATACTGATGGTTTGATTAATTGAAATCAATATTAGTGCTACCAGAAAACTAAGCTGTGATCAAGAGCTTTCCCTGTAGTTACTTCAAACATATCTTGGGATCTGATGTGAACAAGGTGTGACTTGGTCTGGAATGTCATCACTACAGCAAAGATTTGCATTTATTTAAAAATGTGGTTAGAGTGACATAAGTTTCCAGCTATCACAACTGAACTATAAAGGTACTTCAGTATTAAAGGTTCTTCAGTGAATGGTAACAAAGCCATATTTTTGTTAGCAGCTCTGACTTAAAATACTAATCTGTTGAATAAATTGAGTATATGTGTTGAATAGAAGATGTTATTTTAATACACACCTTTCTTACCTTCACAGAATTTCAGATTGTGTTCCCCCCACCCCCTTTTAATTTGTTTTTGAATAACCTCCATCACTGTAGTATTGAGTACTTTCCATGTGAAACCAGCAGCAAGATTCATTGCAGACTTTTCTGGTCCATTATACTTTTTGCTTCTCAGACTAAAAAACTTTCCCAGGAGTGTAAATAAATTGTTCTTTAAATTTGCAGTGAAGCAAAATAAGTCAGATAGATATATCATAAAAACAAACACATATACAAAAAGTCCAACCATGAAAAAAGGCAAAAAATCCTACCCAGGAATAAGACACAAAAGAGAGCATGTACTTGGAGCAGAATGGCAAGTAATGCACAGATGGGTTGAGTATTTGAACTCTTTAGTAAAGGAAATTCACCACTGGCATGAATTTGAAAACTTTCAAATGTGAGTTAAGTGCACTTCAGGTAAATACTCATTAAGACAACGTCTAGAAGAACCTTCCACTCAAAAGCTCTGTAGAGTTCTGTGGAAATGATCTCTGGAGTAAAGCTCCTGCTTCACCACCCCCTGCTGCAGGCATCCCCCTGCAGGATGCCCATTTCCATGTTCCCAGGGAAGCGCTTTGGTGAGGAACGTTGGAGCAAGGCTGGTGCCACCTGCTGGGAGCTGCTGCACGTTCCGAGTCCGTGCTGCAGGTGTGCGAGGTCAGCTGGTGCCTCCTGAGAAATCCAGCAGAATTCTGGCTGCATTATTCCCCGGAGTGCCAGCGTGCATTTGCACACACAGAACGAGCATTTGCTCGTGCTGCACTGGGAAGAAACAAGAAGGCAGCGTGTGCCCATCCCCTTAAACTTGTCTGCCCTCATTGCTCCTCATTACACCGGCATAATTGCTGAACACTGAGCTCAGGAGGCCTCCATGGTGGATTGGATGACAGAATTCTGCACATTTGTGTCAGTAAAGGGATTTGTGACTTGAGAACTCACACTAATGAAGTGTTTCTTTTTTCTGACTGTCCCCATGAAGTAATAGATTTCCTCTGGCTTCATAACATGGAGAATTTCCTTTGCCCAAATGATATGTTCCCTGTGTCATTTTATTACCACCAGTCTCTCCTCTGGCTGGCCTGGGGAATCCATTGCAAGTGTTCCCCTGGTGTTAGTGTTGTGGGTCTGTTGGCAAAACCAATGTTCCCTGCAGGGTCTGTAATGCTTAGCAATCACTGGGTCAGCTCCTAGGAGTTTCTGGGAGAATCTGTTCTAAAACTCATTTACCAAAATGATTTTCGCACATCTTTGTGAACAAGTTATGATTTCTCTTTCTCCTGCTGGGAGAAAGAACAGACCTTTATTTGCCCACCTCAAGCCAGTGAATCACCAGCCCTGCAGAGCTGTTTACATGTTATCTATATGTCATTACTTAGTGGTAAATAACTAAAAATGCCTTTTATTTTTCTGGGTAAATCAAGTAGAATTATTTTTGGATGAGTAATTTGAATGTGATGATGTGCATCGGTTTGTCTGCCAGCATGATGTGACATAGGTGGTGTCCAAGGGTTTTGCCTCAGCCCACAGGGTGTAGGCAGTGTGAATGCATGACTTGCTGTAATAAGAACACAACGTGTATCCACTGAGCACAGGAATTGTTTTTCAAAGAGGAAAATATCTGTCTCTTCATCCCATGAAAGTCTGAAGCCTTAAAGGCAGCTGACACACAGATGGGATTCAGTGTCAGGCCCTACAGAATGTAGAGACTCAAAGCTGTTTCCTAGCAGCAATTGGTTACATAAAAAACCCCAAAACAACAAAACCCAAAAAACCCCCAAAATATCCCCCCTCCCCAGCAAAAACCCCAAATACCACTAAACCAAAATGTTTTGATAAGTCTTATTTTTTATAAAATGGATAATTTCAAAGGGAATTTTAGTCTCTTGTGTTATGTGCTTTTATGAATATGACATTTGTATCATTGGTCATTCTTTATGGATTTCTTTTTTTTTCATAGCAGCACTGAAGTACTCACTTGTACAGTGCACATAAAATTAAGGAGCCTTGACAATGTACTTCCTACTGTGTTCCAACCCTGAGCACAGAATGCCTTGCCTGCCTGCTCAGTCTGGGGGATTTTGAAATGCTGTCTGCTTTAGTAGAAATCTTCTCAGAAGGGAATATCACAATTTCTGTTTTACTCATTTGGGATTTTTGTATCTAAGAGAACCAGTCCTCATCTTCGTGAGGTCAAGGGAAAAACAGCTCACTATTGCACTGGCACAAATTAAATAAAAATTGGGGGATTGTTGATCTCTTATATGGTGGAGTATTTTCCTTGTTTTTAAGGGCATTTCTTATCCCTAAGCATTCCAGTGGAAAAGTATGTGAAATGAAACACAGCTTTTTTCCTTTACAGTCATTAATGGCCATACACCTTGTTTACGGTTGTTGCTGGAGGTTGCAGACAACCCTGATGTGACAGACGCCAAAGGACAGTAAGTTTTCTTTGGGGGCTTTTTTTTTTCAGCTCTGTAATTCAAATAGCATCTCATATTTCTCACAAAAAAGTACTTACTTGAAATGCTGTATTTCCTGCACTTCTCCTCATAGAATTTGGCAGAGATTACAAAGTACACATTCAGTTGATGTAAGCCATGTGGAAAGGACTAATCATTAATCTTAGCCTCTGCTTCATACTTTGTACAGTCTTTTATAGATGTGGTGGGCCAGATTCAATAAAAACTGAACAGGCTCCTGAGATGTTTCTATAAAATCGTCTTCTTTCTAAAACATTGCTATTCTAGGGTTTATTTGGTGCATTAGACTGGTGCAGTGGGACACAGTGTTTATTTGAGATGACACATGCATCTGAGATGTTCCTACAAAAGCTTCACCACTTCCTAAATGGCAGTTATAGAGGGAAAATAAGATATATTTTTAAAGTGAAAATGTGAATGGTTTAAGAAACTCATCTGGGGTGTCTGGAACATATAATGTTGTACATATAACGTCTGCACATTTAATTTTAAGTGGTATTAGTCTGCCTAGAAACAGATGGAGAATGGATCTCTTTCAGAAACAAATGAAAGATATGTTAGTCTAAATTTTAGCTTGAATATTTCCCTCATGTCCCTTCATCCTCTTTAAGCAAATGTGCAGCATTTGCAAAAGAAATACTTTGGGTCATTGTCATCTTGGTAACTAGCAAGGACATGCATTCACAAGACTCGGTATTGTAAAACTCTTGTGTCACTGGAGGTGACATTAATTGTAGGTTATTAAGAGAACAGATTGTCTTGAATGTTGTTGTTCTGTAAACTGCTTACAAGTGGGTTTGTTACTATTTCAGTCCTGGCAGTTGGTTGTTAAACATCTCAATAATTTCATACTAAAGGTTTTCACTCGGGTGTCATATATGGGTATGGGGAAAAGAAATGGGTTCATGGGTAGGAGTGGCAAGAAATGCGGGGCTTCCTGATTTCTCTGTATAAGTTGGCAGGGACAAATAGCATCCCATTTTATAGCTCTGACTGCTCTGGTTTTCTTTTCTTTCCCTAGAACTCCATTAATGCTTGCAGTGGCATATGGGCACATTGATGCTGTTTCTTTATTACTTGAAAAAGAAGCATCTGTAGATGCAGCTGATCTCCTGGGATGCACAGCTTTACATCGAGGGGTGACTTAATTTCCTTTATTATTTGTTTTACTGTGACTACAACTCACTTAGAAGTAGAGGGATGTTTAAATCTAGAGACACTGTAAATGATTGGAAACATGACCAAGCACAATCAATGAAATATAAAGCAAGACAGATCTGCTCTTAGTAATGCTTTGCTTTTAGTTCACATTTGTATTAATAATGATTAGACCACTTTTTTTTTTTTCTCTTGACACTTTATAATAGTAGTCATTATTCTTGTAACTGACCAGCTTAAGAATTCTGAAAATAATTTCTTTGCAAGAACTGGCCAGTAGTTACTTTCATTTTTCTTGGAATGGTGCAAGTAAGTCCTGTAAGTTTTTCCTAGGCAGATCTAATCTTTTCTAGTCCAGCTTGACTAAACTGACTTTCCTAGCTAAGTCTAGCTTCTTACCCCTGTGGGTATGCAAGGGATGATATTTATGCAGAACTTTATGGTAACTGCAGAGAGCAGTTCAGCAGGTGCGCAAAGGGGCTCTCATCTCTGCCTGCTGAATCCCATCCACACATTTCATGTTCACGGCTGTCAATCACATTCCGTATTTCCGGAGCAAGAATCTGTGTTACATCAACCTCTGTACTCCTTTCTTTGTTTCCAGATCATGACTGGGCACGAAGAATGTGTTCAGATGCTGTTAGAGAAAGAAGTCTCCATTTTGTGTAAGGATGCCAGAGGCAGGACCCCTCTGCACTTCGCAGCAGCTCGGGGTCACGCCTCGTGGCTGAGCGAGTTACTGCAGGTGGCACTGGCCGAGGAGGACTGCAGCCTCAAGGACAACCAGGGCTACACGCCCCTGCACTGGGCTTCCTACAATGGTGAGGCTCTGTGGGGCTCTCCCCGGGTCAGCTTGGGGACATCTGCTGGAGGAGCTTGAAATGAAGAGGCAAATGATCCCTGTGTGCTGTCTGTGTTAGCATTTGCTGTGTGCACCCTTCAGTTTGTAGCTCCCAGGGACTCTGAGGCTCGTCTGCTCCAAGTCACAAGGAGCCAGGATGAAATTCTGGATTTATTCATGTCCATGGTGAAATTGATTTCTCTGTGACCAGGAATGCTTCTTTGAGCTCTTGGTGCAAGAGACCATGTGAATAGATGGATATTCTGAACTGAACTGATTATTCTAAAATGGATAATCTGAACATGTCGCTTGATATAAGGATAAAGCTTCTCAGTATTGACATTTAAGCTTTAGATGTAATGTAACATACAAGACATCACATTAAAAAGGGCATTTTGCTTTCCTTTTTTCTTAATAAATGCTAATATTAGCCCAGATCTCTCTTGCTGCTGCCATAAAATTTAAAAATCCTCTGATTTATGACATAAGAGCTTATATACACATCATGTTCAATTTTGATCTTAAAAGTTTTAGATTCCAACCTGTGTAAGCCCAATATGAATTAACTGAACTACCTGCTTTGTGCAACACTGTGAAATATCTGCTCTCTCACAGGTCATGAAAACTGCATAGAGGTACTATTGGAACAAAAACTTTTCCACAAGTTCTATGGTAATAGCTTCTCTCCATTGCACTGTGCTGTGTAAGTAGAAATCTCCAGGAACAACTGAGTGTTGCTTTAGGATATGTCTGCAGAAAGTAGCAGTATGAGAATAAAGCAAGCTTTTTTGGAAATTATTTGCGTGAGCAAATGATTTTAAAGCTGATCATTTGAAGTAAAATTCTTTGTGGCTGAAACATATTACTTGAAATCAGAATTTCTAGTAATAGCTTTGAAAAAAAATTCAGTATTCACATTATTTTAAATGAGTATGCAATTTTCAAGACTAAAAATGTGTGCAATTTAAACATGTGTGCAAATTTAAAATGAAAATAGCTTTTAATCCAATATGGAAGTGTGTTACCTATACTGTGTGTCTACTACTGTTACTAAATGCTGTTCATTTTCATAAAGAAATGAGACAAATTAGCAAAACCCAGAAAAAGTGTTAATGAAACACACCACATCCATCAAATCAAAGTACTAAATGTGTGAGTTGGAAGAGATGTGGGTTTCAGTACCTTAAACATTAGAATAAATCTCTCTTTATGTAAGTGTCTATGAGTGCTTTCCAGGCCCAGGGGTGTTTGACATACAGGCTAAGGATTTTAAGATATTAAGGGTTTAATCCTAGCTTTGTTCTAGACTTGGAAATTACCTTGGTGCATAGTGAATTAAGGATCAGCTTTGCTGTAGAGACTGAAATCCATCGTAGCAGATGCAGTTTGATTAAATGGAGAAATTATGAATATGCAGAAGTGTGACTAAAAGCATTAAGACAAAGGCACATTAGGGTAACTTAGAAATAACCACTAAGAAATATTAATGGGAAATCAAGTAAACCAATATTGGAAAGTGAAAAAATATGTAGGCATGGCCTTTTAAAAATGTATTTTCTTTGGCAGAATCAATGATCATGAAAACTGTGCATCACTACTCATTGGAGCCATCGACGCCAGCATTGTCAACTGTGAGGATGACAAAGGAAGGTAATGGTTCCTTGGACAGATTGCATCTCACGACTCCATTTAGTAATTTTCATAGTTCTTTCTGAACCTCTGGCACTAATCCTTAAGATTTGTCATGCTGACTCTTTCAGACAGCAGTTTGCACCACAGCACAGCTAAAAGGTGTCTCACTTGAAGCAAGAATATGAAGTATTCAATGTCAGAGTACATATGAAAAAATATAAAAGTAATAGTATTTTGTTTGTTTAGAACATCTATGGCTATAGGCTGTTTCCTGGACCTGTTTTCTTTGTTAAATGTTTAGACACATTTATCTTTGCTAAATGGAGTGATACTAAGTACATACAGAAAAGTATTTCTTTAATAGTTTTCATGTTACGTTGGCATTCTCAGGGCACACAAATGAGAATATCTACACAGCAAAATAGAACTATTGCAGCAAGAGATGGGCATTCAGCCCAATCCTTCATTTGTCACATTGAGAATCTCCTCGCCATATATGTATATATTTAATTAAAATTGCTGAAATTCTAAAAAGTGAACACGTATTGTTTCCTTTTATTAAAACAAATTTAATACCCTCAGTAACAGTGATTACATAATTCTGTGAGGGTAAGAGCACCTCACCTTTGCTGATAAGCAAAACAGAAGCAGCACTGAGCTGGGCTGTGTACGAACTCTTTCATTGCTAGTAGTCACCCTTCTGACCCAAAATGCCAAAGAGCCACAGGGAATGAATTCCAATGTCTATGTCTTGTAGAAACTGATAACCTTCAAAGTGGATTGAACTCCTTCTGCCTTTTTATAGTTCTGCAGTTACTTGTGGCTTGTTGCTGCAGTATCTTTGACTACAATTCAAAATACTTAATTTTTAAAATAATCTATGTGTTCTTTTCTGATAGTTCTTCCCAACTGAAGCTTGCTAAAAAAAAAAGGTAAAATCAGATCAATAGGGACGAGGGATCGTACTGCTTTTCATGTCACACAATATGCTCTATTAAAATAAATAGGCTGAGATTCTTCACAGTGTCATATCTCCATACTATCATATCCACCTTTGCAGACTGGCAATATTATTTAACTTACTTCAGCTGCTGCTACTACAACCTCTTTACCAAATTCGAGTTATCACCATAGGGAGAAGCCCTAAAACCTCTTGCACGTGGAGGTTTTTGGGGAGGTGGGGCTGCTGCCCTTCTGTAGCTGCGTGGGTGTTGCTCCGCAGGACTCCCCTGCACGCCGCAGCCTTTGCTGACCACGTGGAGTGCCTGCAGCTGCTGCTGAGCCACAGCGCGCGCGTGAACGCGGCCGACCGCGCGGGCAGGACGCCGCTCATGATGGCAGCGCACGGCGGGCACCTGGGCGCCGTCGGTGAGTGGCTGCTGCCCCACACGGGAACCCTGGCACCCTGGCAAAACTCAGCAAGGAAAACAGATTGTGTGCATAACAATAACATCCTTCTGCAGGAAGATAGATTTTCATCCATTAAAAATACTACTTCTCTGCAGTCTTGGTGAACATTTGCTATAACAATTTTGAGTCTTTCTTCCTCCCAAGAGCACGAGGGCAGTAGTAATTCTGTTCTCCTTTACTTCCTTGATTTTGAGGAGCAGCAAAGCTGCATCTGTGAAAAAGATTATGTAAGCTTTTCCATCCTGTTTTATAGGAAGCCCCATTCTTGCAAAGGCAGCTATCAGCAGCCGCTTTTTCCAGGCTAGACTATGTGCCACAGGCACACTGACTGGGGGCCTTATGGGCTTTGTAGAACTCCCTTTTCTCTGGCTTCAACAGCACAGCTGCACCCCAAGTTCTTTATATCCCCTTAGTCCTCTCAATGCAGGATTTACAGTCATTCTGAGGCAGAGGTGATTCAGGCTAAAACTGCTGATCTGCAAATAGGGAAGTTCATAAATAGGTTAAGATCGATGTATGTATGACAGTTTGGGGCACCACAAACAAGCTGTTAGCTCTGCATTTGCCTGCTGATTAATTGCACTAGATTAGTCTGTTCTCGTTCACTAATTTCATTATTATAAGGCTTACATCATATAAAGACTTAATTAATTAGCCTCTATGCACATGTATACTGAAATAGTAATTTTTTCCTCTCTTTTGACATGTTCATCTGCCCATTGGGTTTGTTCATTGATTCCTACTCTATACCTCAGACTTTTTGGTGAACATCGCCAAGGCTGACCTGACATTAAAAGATAAGGAGTTGAATACATCTTTGCACTTGGCTAGCAGTAAAGTAAGTCAAACACCTCTCTGTGCTTTTATTCTCATCAGTCCATATGAATGTATGTGTGTGTTTATGCTCCCAAGTTTTTTTCTGCAGTGGAAATGTGGTGGTCACAGTTGTGGTGAGGAAGAGAAAGTTGTTCCAAGCTTTTTCTCTTGTCTGTTTCAAAGTATTGTACATTGAGAAATAGGGATGGCTCTTATGACAGCTGAAACATAAGTGACACTACAAGAAGTAAAGGAAACTCTTTAAGGTTTTACCAGATAATCTCACTGTAAAACAGCTTAACAGGTTCAATAATAAAGAAAAATAAAATTGTTTTTTATTTATATCCTATTCCTGTGAAAGGAGACCAAAATTTTCCCCTAACAAAGCAGGAGTAAAACCAGAGGTATTGATTAGATGGATGATGGTGTCTCTTCCTAAGCCTTCTTCCTCTTAATTCCAATTTCTACTGCTATTTCTGCAAGAAAATATGCACAGAGGATTCCCTTTCCTTTTGTTTTGCTCTCACCCACAGATTGGATTCCAGTGTGATCATATTACTCCAGTTTCTGCAGACACATGAGCCTTGCTGAATTCTCAAGGTCCTTCAGGCAGCTCTTCCCCTGCCAGGGCTGTAGGCTCAGCACAACTTGTGGTGCAGAAACAGGATCAGAAATAAGGCCTGGATCTGTATTATTCTCAGAGTTCCTTTGTTAGCTCTCTGACACTGAAGAGGTTTTCTAGCAGCTTATTAATAATACAGAAAGGCATTTAAGGACCCACAAAGTGTGGTGTTCGTTTCTGAGATGAAAGCATTCTCTGTCACTGTGTAGTTCTGATAAATCATCCACTGAATGTTCACTCAAGAGAAAACAGCATTCTCTGAAAGCTGAGGAAGTGAATTCATATTTCATGAATGCAGGGTTGAAAGACAGGTGAATGTCTACATTTCTAAATGTGCTAAAACATCCCAGCAGTAGTGGTTCACAAATGGTACTTTAAGACTCGCTTAGTTCACCTTCTACATGGGCTTACTGAGCAGCATCTTTTGTATTTCAAATTGAGTTATTAAATTTCACTTTTATTATGTAACATTTCTTTTTGCCTCAATTTCAAACTCCTCAGCAAATTAACACTTTTGGTTTTTTTCCCTGACTACAGGGTCATGAAAAATGTGCCTTGTTAATACTTGACAAGATCCAAGAACAGAGCCTTATTAATGCAAAAAATAATGCATTGCAGACGTAAGTATAGCCTAATACTCTCAAATTAAGCTGATTTATCAGAATATTCCAGTTTACCATTTCAAATTCATGTCTCAGATTACTTAATAGAACAGTAAAGTTAATTTCTGATTTTTCTTGAATGCTTTCCCTTGAAAAAGACCCAAATTGTATCGCACTCTTACTTTTAATTTTGATTCTGTTTGTGCCATTTCTATGCATGATCTGGTTGAAAAATTATACAAGGTTATTTATTTAAAGATTATATCAAAATGTCTATTAATCATGTGAACATGTAAGTATATATCTGGCATTTTCTAGTGAACTTCACCCTAAATTTAAAAAAATTATTTAGACTTACTTAGGCTTAAGGTGGTACATTTAGTTCTCTGAAGGTTTTTTAGGTGATATTTTATGTGCAACTTCTGTCCATAGCATATGTTATCAGCTGCAACTGGTTATTGGCATGGGGGAATCCCACCACAGGAGATTCAACCATGAGTTCAGGTGGCAGATCACCTAGAGCTTGCAGAAGAATTTATTCCATCTTAGCCCTGTTTTCCCCTTCTTCCAACTTGAAAATGTTTTTCCTGTCCTGCTAGCTGTCCCCAAACCAGAGCACTGGGTGTTGGGCCAGGAAAGGAGCAAACCAATGGCTATTTTTAATTTCCAGCTGCTCTGCAGTAGCAGAGATTAGCAATTGAGTATTCAAGGATAAAAAGGCAATACAATGATATTGAACAGCCTGTAGCAGCCAGAATTAAGGACAGAACACAGGCGTTTTTCAGCTTTGGATTCCTTTTCCTTTTAAACATCAATTATGTGCCGCAAACAGTGGAAAAATGAGAAAGACTTTTAAATAAAGTCTTTAGGCTGGAAAGTATTAAGCCATCTTTGTGTGCTTGCACAAAAGAAATCTTGTTTTATAGATGTGGAACATGTCAATTATTTCAAAGGCTGCAATAAAATTTAGTGTCTACGATACAATTGTAATGATCCAAGGAAGGAAACCATTCTCTTTCACATGCGCAGTGTGCTTTAAGCATTGCCTAACTTTGTGTAGAAAATCTGTTGTAAACTAAAGTTGAATTTAGTTGTTATGTTTTTGTAGACCTCTTCATATTGCTGCACGAAATGGCCTAAAGATGGTGGTTGAAGAGTTGCTGGCCAAAGGGGCCTGTGTCCTGGCAGTAGATGAAAATGGTAAGTAAATGATACACTTTGACAGTCTTCAGTAGGAGCCAACAGGTAATTTTACAACAGACTGAAGCAATAGACTTAAAAGGTGATGATAGACTTCATTGATGCTTTTATCCTTCCAAGAACAGACAATGAGTTGTGTGAGTACCTATTAAAAAAAAGAAAATTAAAAGATACTCTTTCTTTAGTATAAGAATCTACTTTAAACATCACAGTGGTCCCTTTTACTGTTCATTTTGCATGTACTGTCAACAGCTAGTCTTTTTTAATGCCTGAGTGCAGTGGTAACTTGAATTTCCTAAACATGCAAGTGGCACCGGATAATTCTGACGCCTTGCAGAAGAATTAAGGAATTTGCATTCAATCAGCGCATGTTTTAATGGGTAGGAAGAAAACCATCGACATGTGTTTGAGTGTGTCCCAGCTCATTCTGAGATCAAACCTTGTGCTTGCAAATTATCTGACCAAGATGCAATTAAATTATTGTTGTCTCATAAAAATACATAATTGGTTACTAAATTAAATAATTTTATTTCAGGCTTCAGTGAAGCCCTTCCCTAAAAATTAAAAGGAACCATAGAATGATGTGATTCTACAATTATAGTTTTTAAAAATATCTTCCTGAAATCAGTTGTTTTTTCTTACAATACTAACTTCATGGCATTAATGTAACAATTGGGTACCTCCATCTTTCCATATCTATAAAGTAACACTAAATAAAGTAACTACTCACCCATCATTGCAAGACATTTGAGATCTCTGGATGAAAAGAACTGATTGGTATTTACTATAAGCCAAATGCTACTTAGCTATACTTGCATGAATGAGTTCCACAGAAGTCATCTGACCCTAACCTCACTTCAGAGATAGGTGACAGAAAAATGAACCAGACTATTTTCTAACCACAGATTTTATCCTTAAAACAGTACATACACATCCAGCTAATTTGTATGTAACAAATGACAATTAGATTTAAATTTTATACACATTTAGTTTTTCTAGGAACAGCGTACACATTTTAAAAGAGAGATGTTCAAGTAGAACCTTAGCACATTCACAGATCTAAAGAATATTAACACTTGGAACACATGGAAGAGGAAATGCACTGACTGCAATCAGTGCTTAAATATGGGTATTTTGCAACAAAACTGTATTCACTTTTTGCTTACCAAGTTCATCTGTGCTGCAGATCTTGGCTTCCTCGAGGCAGTAGGTACCAGAAGTGGCCACTGCCTCGCATTACTATTGCTGCAGTGCTGAAGATTTAACCAGCTGCCAAAGAATTTTTTAGCTCTTTGCATAAAAGGAGGATTTGTTGGAAAGGGCTGGAGTTCTGCACAGCAGCATGTAAAACGTACAGACAGTAAGTGTAATGAGCACACTGCCTTCCAGGGCTCATGTACATGAAGAGCTGCTTTAGGGCAGTGCTTGGACAGGACCCAAGTTAAACTGCAGTGAAGACAAGCTTCTAATTGCTCCCCAGTCCTTTGTTTGACTGACATTGGAGTCCTATTAGCTGTGTATTTGAAGTGTATGCCATGCTTGCTGAAAACAGCTGATATTCTTCTAACACAGTGTATATTTGGGTAACTAAACAGCCATGTTTAGTTGGGTAACTAAACATCCATGTTTAGTTGGGAACTAAACATCCAGTCACACCTGCTATCCATGTACCCCCTGCACTGGTCTAATTATTTTATAATATCATTCCTAAATAAACTGCTTGCCAAGTTGAGTAGATACTCAACTGATCAATCTTTAAAATTGTTTGCTTATTAAATCAAAAATTTTTAAACTAATACCTTTCATGTTAAATGCAAGCTGTTGTTCTCAGAATGAGACTCGTTCATGCACACAGAAGCGATGCCAGTTTCTGTCCCTGTTGCTGCAGTGCCTGTGTTCTGTACTGGCCGTGCTGTGTGTGCTGTAGAGCCGTGTTCAGCTGTGGTGCACCTGGCGCAGTGTTTGCTGCCTGGTTTCACACGAGCAGTGCTTGTTGTGGTCCCGGTGACTGCGGTGCCCCCAGTGTCTCTCCCAGCATGTGCGTGAGAGCGAGTAACACGCCTGGCATGTGTAACCCCATCGTGTCCCCACGGTGTCCCTAGAGATGTCCCTGAGGAATGCCGGGTGCCCCAGGTGCCCTCAGTACTAACCATTGCCTTGTCTGCGTTTGTGCCCAGGTCATACGCCAGCCCTGGCTTGTGCTCCTAACAAAGACGTGGCTGACTGCCTGGCACTCATTTTGGCTACCATGATGCCTTTTTCTCCCTCCAGTTCAGTGACGGCTTTCAACTTCGCTTGTTTTAAAAAAGACAATTTGGGCAGGACGCACCTCTGCGATGGCTCCGCTGTGGGCACCATTAACTCTTATGATAAGCCCTTGAGTAATAACATAGGAACAGAGGATGGGTACAATGAAAATGATTCGGATTCTGAAACATTTTGACTCATTGGTATTCGAAAACTTTTTTCGTTATTGTTTCGTTTTAGCTTTAATTTTTGTCTTTTTAAACAGCTTAAATCCCACGGTTATATTCTTAACTATTATTCTTGACAAGTAGTTATTGAAAGATTTGTAGTGCTGATGAGAATCTAGCCTTTAAATAACAAAATTAGAGGGATTTACTGGAACATATTCCTAATAGAGTTCTGCAGCTTTTCAGTTTCCTGATGTTTTCTTTAGGCCCAAAGTGCCCCTGTGGAAAGTCTCTACCTCTTATTTTAAGTAGAAAAAGAGAAAATGCCTTTTTTCTTTTTGACAGCACAAATAAACACAGAACTGTTTGTAAAGAGTTCTTTCATGTTTTAGCTGCACCTTTAGTGCACAATCCTATTTCCAGCATAACCTTCACAGATTCGAGCATCACTCCTTTCCTATGTTTGTCTGTTTCCTGCTTCCAGGGGCTCTGTTAATTAGATAATTTTTTTTCATGAACCAAAGGTAAAGTTGTAATCTTAAAACTGCCTGTATTACTTTTCTACAGGAAATGAAACCTTTTACATTCTGCCTGTATTAAGCACTTAAACGTACGGAAGGCACTTTTTACAGTTCGTAGTTGCAGTACACAATTAGAAAAATGTAGTTGTTAACTCTGAAGGCCAAATTCTGCTCATCCCACCATATTTTTCCCATGAACCTCACTTCTGTAAAATGCTAATCACTTGGCCCTTATTTTTTTTCAATTCAGCACAAATGTTTATTTGCACTACAGAATTAGGGTCATTAGATGTTTCTGTCACCTGAGCCATTAATCATGAATCCAGTACCAGTAAAAAAAGGGGAGAGCGGGAGAAATCATGTGTAGACAAAGGTGTATGTAAAAGTTTCTAATGATTTGCCAACTTAAATGGCGCTTTTTTCCTTTTCTATGGTTAAATAATTTATTTTTACTGTTAACAGTATTGAATTTTAAAATACTTTTGCCAGTGTTTGGATTAACAGAGCAAAGGTAAAGCAATGAAAGCGTATCACCAAAAGTTGAAATACCAAACACCAGAAACACAACAGTGTACCGTGTAGGGGACCAGAGACAGATGCTAAAAAAGCCTTTTGTCACCAGCTTTTAAAGCAGTGTCAACTTTGTGAATATGTTTACTCCTTCTGCCAAAGTTTCTAGGTCAAATGGACCCCGACCCTCCTCTGCAGCAGATGTACAAAAGGAAGAATGAGACTTTGTAAACAAAAACAAAAAACACAAACAAAAAACTATCATGAACTAACCAGCCGTACCAAGAGGACCAAAATGCTTCAGTAATTCAGTTGAAGACTTTGCTACTTTTATTTTTTTGTTCAAATGTGAGTGACATAATGAAGTAGTTTTTTCTAAATGATAAAAATATAAACTTTTGAGGTAAAATAGTCTTGGGTGAATTTTACATTTTATGACACCGGTTTCAAGTTGACATTTTTAACTGATGATGTGTTGACCACAGGTGGGTTTTTTTCCCAGACTTTAGAATATGTTCATATACTTTTAATGTAAATGTGTTTCTATTTATTTGAGATGAAACAAATGCCCAGGAAAAATCACTATGGCTTGTTCTCCTAGTTAGCATTCATGCATACTGAAATGAAATGTGAATCTGGCAAGACTGAGGGCCTGAGGAGCAAAAAGGAAGGGTGGATGCACACCGGGAGAGTGCCCATCTTGTATGGAATGCAAAGGTCCACTGGCTGTGTTGGGAAAAAGCAGAAAACAAAACACTTTCCTTTGTTTAAGAGTTTAAGAAGGATGCAGCCCCTTGCCAGACAGGTGAGAAAACCCACACAGCTGTGGCACAGCATGGAGTCAGGTGTTGTGTTCCTGTCATTCCACTCAGCTTGTCTCAGGCCTGTGTCTGTGCTGGGAGGGTGAGATCAGCGTCCTCGGTGCTCGCTTTTGGCAGCGTAAAGGAAAAGTAAGGATTGGAGTTTTAGTTGCAGTTTTTGGCCCTGTTCTGCTGGATTGTTGAAAATCTATTGGCAGATTTCAGTCCTTTAATTAGGAAGAAAAAAATAAATATTAATTTTATTTTGCCTTACTAAAATTGAGTATTTTTTTCCTTGATCGTTAGCAATCTTCCAAAGTTTACAACAAAAAAAACACCCTTTTCTCTCTACTCTGTAGTTCCTAAAGTAGAATGACAGAGAATCTGCAACCTTGCTTTTCTCCTCAGAAATAGCACCAAAAAACATTTTAATTGGTTTTTCTTAGCATTTTTGCTTTTAAAAGTTGCAGAACAGCAATAACCACCTTACTTAAAACACTGAAAATAAGAGGAGAGAGCAGTTAGAATTTTCAGTGGTGCCTGTTCCAAAATGAATAGTAATCCCAACTTTTGGGGTTTTTTTTAATATAGAAGGATGGCATTGAAAACAAACATATGGGAAATAGCTGCCACCTGTCTAACAGCAGAATCAGCATTTTAATCTTATTTTAAGCAGAAATGTAGGCAGGTTCCTTGGCAGGATTACTTGTAAGTCTCACCCTGAAATACAGAAAATTACGTTATCCTACATGACAGTGCTTCATTAAGAGAAAACCAGCCCTCTTTATAAAAGGTTGTTATATTATTTGAAGCAGCCATTTAAAAAGTCTCAGTATTTTCACCTGCTGCCCATACAGTTACCAAAACTTTTTCTAATTGCAATACCTGGTAACACTGGTAATTGTGGAGTGCAACAGCTGCTGCATCCCAGAAGCAGAGGTGATTTATTTCTGAGTCACGCTGGTCCTTCCAGGAGCCAAATCCAACCTTTAGCCATGAAACTCCACAATGGTGCCAGGATGCAGCCTTCCAAAAAGCACAGGAATGTAGGCTGTGCTCACCTCCAGGGCACTGCACAGGTCGTGTTTGAGGGCGCTGGATTCAGCAGGAAAACTGCCACAAGCGAGACACTGGGAAGTGCTCAGTGTTGGCCTCTCCCACATCTCATGTGAGTTACCAGAATCCTTTTTTTTGTATGCTAGCACATCAATCTGTAATTTATCACATGTAGAAATCAATGTGTAGTTTAGGGCAGGTATATAAGCATGCGAGTAATGTTACTCTTGTAAATAATCTCCTTGCCTTTCTGTGGACTCCTTACAAGAGTAATCATACAGAATCGTTGCACTTAACCCTGGATTCTGCAGCTTACACACGTGGGCAGCTTCTGTGTCTGCACCCAGCAGAGGGCACCTGGGCAGGGGCAGCTCCGTGCCCGGGTGTGCTGGCAGGATCGTTTCATCCTGTATTGTAACCACAGCTGCAGGCGGAATCCAGAGCAGGACGGGCTCCCAGGTCTCTCTCACAAATACTGAGTTACAACCTCCGGACTGCCTGAAATAGCTGTGAAATAGCTCAGGGGATTTCTGTTCATCGCTACTAAAAGGGCACCATAATGTGTTTGGTACTTTTATGCAGTCAACAACTGCCAGGTTATTGAATTAGAACAAACACATGAAATGAATTGTTTATCCATTGTACTGTTGAGAAACTTGGTTATGTATTTGAGGATGATTTAAAAAAATTTTGTGATTTTTATTCTTAGTCATGTAAGAAATATTAGAGTGCCTTTTTATATTTGTGTATAATGGAAATGTTTTGTGAAACTTGTCTTTTTTTTTTTTCATTTGAGTGTTATAAAAGCAATATATTACCAGTAAATTTTCATTTCAGACCTTCTTTGAATGTATAAAGTGTTTCTTCTTTTCATATGTTCTACCTGCATTGAAATGAAAATTAATATGCTAAATTTCTATAGGAATAATGTATAATTTTCGCAGTGCTGAAAATGCTTTCTTATTACACAAAAAGTAAACTTAGGTCAGTGTTATAGGAAAGGGCGTTTTAAACTAGTGACAATCTTGAGTGTGTGTATAAAATGTAATTTTATGCATTTCTTATGCAGTGATCTACATATTAAAGCCAATATCTTATGTTTTGTAGGTTTTGTCTTATATTTTATGCTTTAGCATGTGCAATATATCTTTACAAACCATGGTGATACGCATCTGGTGCCAGTGTTATATTTTGCATAACATTTGTAATAAACTATATAAAACATTGTTTGATGGTTTCGGTGGGGTTTTGTCAGTAATGTTTGCTTTTGTAAATTGAAGTTTTAGGACTTGGGTAAATGTCACATATGAAATGAGAAAAAAAAACTTAATTCATTGAATGACTTGGAATTCAACCTGAATCTTCTCAAGCACAGTTTAGTAACTTTTTAAACTACTGAATGCTGTATTAATGTAATAAAGAACCCTAACTGTAAACTACTATTGCAATGCATTCAGATGGTTATTTTTACAAATAAAAATGGTACAAATACAGTGGAAAACTGAGTAAATTTTGTTTCTTTTGGGGGAGCCGGGGAGGCTTAAGTATTTCGCAGGGAATATGAAAATGCAGTTACTTCGTACTTCCCTCATATATAAATACCCATTGCCCTAGAAAGCTGATTTTGCTTTCTCTGTAGATTCGGGGAAGGTGAGGAACAAAATAAACCACCAGAGTAATTTATTTTTTTCTCAGTCATTAAATATTTAACTGTTTTCCCTGGGAGCCCCAGCCGCCCTGCTGGGTGCGCCCTGCAGCTGCCTGGGGCAGCAGTCCCACAGGGACTAAAATGCACCAGACAGCTTCAAGACAGTGATAGTAAGGTGTTAAAAGTAACCCGAATTAAAGCAAATAAACAAAGGGTCCGTGCCCAGCGGGTGTGCGGGTTTATTTTCGGCAAGGCGCCGGCTCCGGCGGGGCTGGCTGTGCCGCGGGGCCCGCCCGAGCGCTGCGGGGCCGAGCGGCCGCGCCCCCTCACGGCCCCGGCGCGGCGCCCTCCCCATCATGGCGGACACGCCTCCCCCGCCAGCCGCGACATGGCGGGCGGGCCCCTCGGCCCGGCGGCCGCCCGACCTCCCCAACATGGCGGCCGCTCCCTGGCGCCGGCGGCGGCCAGGTTGAGGCGCCGGCCCGGCCGCCCTCCCGCTCCGCCTCCCGGGCGCGGCGCTCCCGCCCCGCCCCGCCCCGCCGTGCCCGTGTGCGCGGGGAGCAGCGCTCCGCTCCGCGGGGCGCCATGGGGCGGGCGGGCCGCCGGCTGCCCGCGCTGGCAGCGCTCTTCTACGGGGCGCTGGCGGCCCTGGTGCTGCTGGGCGTGCGGGACGTGATGTTCCTCTACGAGGAGAACCGGTGCAGCATGACCTACATGTACGAGTACCCCGAGTACCTGGTGAGTGCGGCGGGGTGTAACAGGTGGGACCTGCCGCTCCCGGGGCGGTGCCGCCCGCCCCTCCGCGCCCGGAGCCCGGAGCCCGGAGCCCGGAGCCTGAGGCGCCGCTCCCCTGGGCAGGGAGAGCAGCCCCGAGCTCGGGGCTCGCCGCCGTGCTGGAGCGAAGGGCGGTAAATGGGGCACGGGCAGCTGGGCGGGAGCGGGGCCGGGCTGGCAGGACGCGCTGCTGTGCCCCCGCCGTGTGGCGGTGCCCCTCGGGGGAACAGAACGGTGGCAGAGCCGCCCACCTGTAACCCTGCGGGGCGCTTCGTGCTGCCGCCGTGCAAAACCTGCCCGCGGTCCGAGCTGCCGATGCCTGGAGCTCCGAGTGGCTCTGTGAAACCCAGGATGTTGGGTTTCACACGGGTGTTGGCCGAGGAAGGGGCTGGGCCAGCTCCTGTGCCAGCGCTGGCAGTGCCTAGGAGGCCGAGCCTTGCACTTCATGGCCCTTCTCGCGACTTCTTAGTGGGAAGTAACCAGTGTGTCAAAAAAGGGCAGAACTGAGCTTTGACTATTAGTGTATCTCTCAAGGTGGTGAACAGTGGTGCAAAGTCCTCTCGGTGAGCACTTTGGAGGTGACATGTCCCAAAAGGTACATGGGAGAGCTTGTAAATCCCTCTGAGGTCCGTCTTGTTTTGCTAACAGCCTTGTAGAAGTCTCTTTGAAAACGTGGGATCAGTTTGAGAGAATTGCTATTTTCCCATTTTCCACACACTGTTCTGGTTTAGTAATGGAAGGATGTAAATGCATATTTGTAAGTTCGCTGCTAATGCTGCAGCATGCACTTGTTAGAAAACTGTTTCTCTTTTTGATAGTAGTAAATACTACGGCATTTTCTCTCTTATTAAAAGCATAACTGGTTGAGTTCTGAGCATTCATTTTTCATTATCTGAGATCTAATTTATGTTGGAAAAATGGTAATTATTCTAAATAACACAGTTCAGAAGTAGTTTGCAAGCTGGCTTGCACAGTAAAGAAGATCAAAAAGCAAAAAGCGTCTAAATTCATAATGAAGGAGAAAGTTAATTTTTGGGTCTAGGTAACCTTCATTTCCTAACCTTGATATAGCCGTCTTAGCCTAACAAAGAGGAACTTGGTATGGCTACAGGGATTGTTTTGTCAGTGCTGTAGAACAAATTCGTTTAAGCAGTTATAAGTACTTAGATACTGCACAGCAAGTTTTGAGATCTCCTGGCAGCCAGAACCTACTTCAGCTTCAGTCTGAAGCCAGCCAACAGAAAGTTACTGGCAAAACCCGTGTGACGGTATTGGCGGGTGCCTGAAACTCTTGTCTGCCACCACATCTTTTGTCTTTACTCATTATGTAAGGGCTTAAACTCGGGCATCTTTAGGCGGGATGCAAGGCTTAAAGGTGAGCATGCAGGAGATGCAAGTCACAGCTGGCTGTATTGCCCTCTGGAATTTCTGCTTCTTGTGTAATCACTTTTGCCATGCAGAAAACAGTACTTCGGGCTGGGGGGCAAATTGTGAATTCATTTGGGTTTGCTGAGGTATTGTACTTTACAGGTAGGTTTTTATTGTTGGTGTCTACTGTGTGTGTGGTGCTGCCTTCGCTAGGAAACCCCAGCGTGGGAGTTTCGGTGGGAGGTACCTGTCCTTGCTTCTGGGTTGTTGTCATGTTACAAAACAAATAACTGCTTGAGCAATTAAACAAGAAGTTTCATTTCTTTTGTGTCCATCAGGGTGAGTTAGCTCCCGGTCAGCCTAATAATTGATCATTGATCATCTTTTTTTGCATGAGTTTTAGAACTGCAGTGTTTGAATTTAACCTGCCCTTGTCCTGTTCAGCTGTACTTGGCGAGAGACTCAGAAGTTAGTAATGAGGAGTTGTTCACATAAACCTAATTTCTTACAGAACCAGGGTGAGAAACCAAGCCTACACTGACGTTGTAAAAAGCTGCTGTAGCTTGCTACAACTGATTGCATAAGCAGTGTCTTGGGAATTCACAGTTTAAACCCACTGTCATGGAGCATGAATATCTCTTTTCCTTTGGAGTTACACATTGCCACTTTGTTGTAATATTTAAAAACTGTGATTTACCAAAAAATCCCCCAACCCCCCGGTATTTTGACAGTACAATTCTCATGGGTTGTGTGAGTTTTTGTGTTTGACAATGCCCCAAGGAAGAACAGCATGTTAATTTTGTGTTCCGTAAAAGTTTTTGAAAAGACAATGAACCGGGAAGTTTCTGTGGATGAACAGTTGATTTGATCTGTCAGGAAGTCACATAAGCACATCTTGCTGGCACTCTGAGTTTAGTAATGGGAACTGCTGAAGGTTTTTTTCACGTAATTTTGAAAGCCTTTCCAAAAGGAGCAGCAGAAAGGAATGAGAATGGGACAGTGGGGTGAATGAAACTGGAAAGGCAGGATGATGAAGAAAGGGAAAAGATCAAAGGATGATCTGAAGACATAAGCCCTGAATGAAGCCTAAATTTTCTTCTTCTCAGTGAAAGAATTTAACTCACAGTCTCACACTGTGTTAATGAATCAAGATACTAAAAAATTGTAAATAATATGCACACATAGATACATCTCATAGAATTGATATTTTATAAAGATATTAATAAAAACATAATTTAAATGGTTTACAAGTAACCAATGTACCAAAAATTTTGAAAGCTGAGGTGGGAGAAAACAGTCATTAGCTGAGCAGAGATAGACAAGAACAGGGGAAGGGAAGGAGTGTGGGGGCACAGAATTAAAGCTAAATCACCTTTATGGTAGATGCAGCTGAGAGAAAACAATAAATTATTTGAATTAAAGATGCTTCTATTTCAGGGAAGCAATTAAGAGAGACTCTACAGGAGATTTCTGACACAAAACTGAGTTTAGTCTTGACCTTGTTCTGTAAAAGTGTTTCCTTAAAATAGAAACTACACCTTAATACATGTGTCTTTGTATTATCTTAATTTTCTCTCAGTTGTTACATAGTTGTAACATAAATAATCAAACACTGGAATGAGTGTATTTGCACTCATAAAAATTTTTAATATCTGTATCTTAGAAACTCAGAATTATAAACCAACCAGCCTCTATGCAGGTGTTAAACCAAGATAGTAAACAAGAACACATTTAATTAAGACAGTGGCATATGACTCTAAGAGATTGACTTACTGGTGTGAGATTAATCCTCACCTAGCCCTTGGGATCAGAGAGATTTTGTTCTTTTCTCTCTGGGGATCCTAATCCTGTGAATCAGATGTGTGCTAGGTTAGGGGGTTACTTGTTGTTGAGTGACAGCTGACATGGACGTTAGACCTGTGCTGTTCCAGAGCCAGGCACTTTGTCAGACCACACACCCAGCTCTGGAAAGGAAACAGGAAAAGCCTCAGGGGACCAGGGGTTTGTTTTTCCTGCTGAGCTGTTTGAGGTGGTAACTGCTGTTGGTTCAACTCCCCTGCAGGTGACATCTCTGTAAAACCAGCTAAGAGAATTCCCACGAGAGCTGCAGTTCCCCTGAGCTAGCAGGTGGTACCTGGCAGTCACCCACATCCCACTGCTCTCCAGGTGGGATCTTGGATCCTGGTGCTGGGATCCATGGCCTTGGGAAGGCTTCCAGAGCCATTCCAGGGCAGCAGGAATAGTTAGCATCACTCTTGTGCCCCAGTTTCTGCTCTCAGCTGCTCCTCTCCTGGGAGAATTGCTGGGGTTTTGACATGCCTTTTTTTTTTGCTTTCCCCCACCTGTATTATAAGGCTGGATTTACTCCATGAATGTGCAGCTTTGGTAGATACATAATTGCATCCATTTGTAGTTTGTTTCAAAGCTAATTGTTTAGAGTGACTGGAGTCATTCATTATGCCCAATAATACTTATTAAACAGTTTGTTTGATAATTCCATTTTGAATTAGTTTTTTTTTAAAGCCTAACCCAGTTTTTCATTCTGTATTCTTTAGACTGTAAGGAATAGTTTTATGGCTCATTTCTTCAGCCATAAAAATAAAATCACATGTGCCAGATGATTTAAATGGCTGGATAGACACTGTATTTTCCTGTTTGTAACTCTATAAACAAGGTCCTTGTTTTCTTTTTAACTTTTGCAATAGAAAATAAAATTACCCAAGAAAACAGCCAGACGATACCCAGCATATGAGCTGTATCTCTATGGGGAAGGGAACTATGCTGAAGAAAACAAAAATCTCCTACTGACAGGAATTCCAGTTCTCTTTCTGCCTGGGAATGCTGGCAGTTACAAACAAGGTAAGTGTTTAGCTGAGTTATAGCTTTGCTACAAAAAAGCTCTCAGATTTGTGCATTTGGTAGTTTTCTGTTTGAAATAATATCAGAAAGAGTCATAATGCTTGATCATATTACTCTGTTTAATTCCAAACAGTCAAGATACATGATTTTTGTTTGAAATCAGTTGAATGGTTAAGCTGTAATACTTCTCTGGAGCAGCAAGGTTTTTGAAAGCCACAAACAGTACAGTTTATGCAGTTTATGCTCTGGCAGCACTGCAGCCTTGCTGTACTTCTGATTGCAAACATCTAGTTGGTTTTGATTTGAACAATGTTTAGTGCAGTTAATGCCAAATAAAACATGACCTGAATTTGATTAGGAGAAACTGAACCATCTGTTGTCTGTGATGTAAAGGAATTACATGCTATAGAAATTCCTGTAAGCTTGCCCTCTAGTTTCATTATTCCCTACACCTTTATATAGTGCTGTTTTTCCTTAACATTGGCTTCCCACTTTACGCACAGCCTCTTTTGTTTTCCCTGTTACATTTCTAGACTCCAAAGGAAAAGCAGTAATCATTTTAAAGCATTTTTATTTTTCTGAATGCCAAAGCTAATGGTACATGAAGTTTTGTGTTTCAATGTTTACTTTGGTACCTGCTATTCCTTCCAGTCTGGGTTTGTCAGACTGTTATTTTTGTTCCCTAAAATGTGCTTTGAAACAGTAAATACCACTCTCATGATGTTAGAAAATGGATGTGTGTGGGGGGAAAACCAGCATAGTCTGAGCCCTGATTTCTTACTGTGATAATTTTTCCTTATATTAGCACTAAACTTGATGATTAAATTACCTGATTTCAGAGAGCCTTTAGAGAGCTGGAGTTTTTTGATAATGTACTTGCTTAGCTTATAGTAGTGTAAAATATTTTACCAATTAGTACTTTCAGAAAACCCATAGAGACTTGCAGGCACAATAGCATCCAAAGAAGATTACAAACATAATGATTATGAGAGGTGCCATATGGACTTTAGTGATTGTGCATCAAATATTGCAAATCTGTGAATTAATGCTGTCTCTAAACACACGGCAGTATATCACTATGCAGGAAATAGAATGGTGCTCTCAGGGCATTTTAGGAATCAAAAGGGAATATCTGAAAAACAAACTTACTAGGTGAGTAGAAGTACTACATGCTATAGGAACAATAAATATTTTAGTAATGTTCTTTTTGGAATGGGTTTAGGGAGACTGGCAATACATCATCTGTGCATTTTAGAAAACTTTTGTTAAATTTAATTCATATTAATTCTTACTTTGTTCAGAATTCATTGTGAGATAACACAGTTTTATTCTGGTGCCTAGATGAGCAGAGAAGGTGTTGCTATTGTAATTTTCTTGTTGTTGTTTAAAATATATTCTTATTTGCTGGACAATGAAGACAGGGGCTGCTGCTGCCTTTGTTGTCCTTGTTATCTTCATAGAACCATTTAGGTTGGAAAGGACCCTTAACATCATGGAATGCCAGCATTAATCCAGCCAAGCCCCCCTCTAAGCCATGTCCCTGAGTGCCACGTCTGCACAGGTTTTGAATGCCTCCAGGGATGGCAACTCCACCTTGGGCAGCAATGTCTGACCACCCTTTTGGGGAAGAAACATTTCTGAGGATCCAGTATAAATGTCCCCTAGTGCAACTCGAGGCCATTTCCTCTTGTCCTTTCACTTGAAAGAAGAGGCTCACTCACAACCCATCTTCAGGAGTTTTTGATGTGCTAACAGGCAGTTTTGAAATATTAATTCGTCATCTTTCATTAGCACTAAAATGAAATTTTTAAAATGTACAAAATTCAGACTTTGAGTAAAAGACAATCTGAGAAGGAGGGTCCTGCTGTTCTCTCAACCTGTACCCTTGGAGAATCTTGCTCCTGTGTGCTAGATTTGGGGAGACCTTTATGGCCATCATTTGTTATTTTATATAGGCACTTTTGGGACTTTCACTTTTATTTTCTGCTACCATGCCTTGTTATTTGCAGCTGTTATTGTTCCCATCCTGCATTGTCTCCATGGAAACTTGGGGACAATTCTGCACACAAAAGGCTGAATTGAACAGTAGCCAGGGAAGACAGGTCAGAAGCAAGACCTTGTAAAGTGAACATTTCCTCACTTGAGGTTTTAGGTGGACAAGTGTCCTTTAGGGTTTGGTTTTGCAATCTCCCATGCTTATCTTAGTGGTGTTTGGGAATGTTTTCTTAGATGATGGCCTTCAAAGGAGTTTTCTTCTTGATGGCCTTCAAAGGAGTTTTAGGAAATCCTAGCAATAGGACTGCCTCTACAGTTGGAATCAAGGATGCCTTCTTCTCCTGGTGGCACTAAGAAGGTGCAAATGAGATGAGAAAAGCAGCCCTAAGGTGGAGGAACATGATCCTTGTATAAATTTGTTCCTGACATAAAATACCTCTGTTGTCAGCAGTCAGCTGAAAAGAAATTGTTTGGTTTAGAATGTCTTTTCTAAATGACTTGAGGTGAACAATGGATTTAATGTATTTGTTTCTTAATTTATTATGTATTTGTGTGTTCTTCTGCTAAAGTGATGCTGAGCAGTGACTGTTGGACTGTTCTAATTGCTGTGGTTTCTTTTTCTAGTACGTTCTCTTGGCTCCATTGCACTTAGAAAAGCAGAAGATGTTGACTTCAAGTATCATTTTAATTTCTTCAGTGTCAACTTTAATGAGGAGTTGGTTGCATTGTATGGTGGCAGCCTGCAACGACAGACCAAGTTTGTGCATGAGTGCATCAAAGTAATCCTGAAGCTGTACAAGGTAAGTAGTGCCACGTGCTGAGTTGTGCACTTCCCTTTGGGAATGGAATTCTGGGCTGCCTTTCCTGCTGCAAAACTGAGGAGTGAGGAGTAGGGGAGGGAAACTTTTTGAAAGTGATAATAATGCTATAGAGAATTACTTCTCTTTAACAGGTTTTTAGTACTTGTGACAATCCCAGAGCTTTAAGGAGGTTCTGTGTTGTGTTTCTAAGTAAATACTTCTGTGCATAATGGATGTCTTTTTCTAGTAGAGATGTAAATATTTGTAGTTTACTAAAATATTCATATAGCATTGCCTTACATCAAGTTTTCTCTGGGAAAGTTCTTTGATGTCCTCTGTTCCTAAAAACTTCAGAAATTAAAATCAGCTTAAGTTTGCTAAGCTTACACAGGCTACACAGTATTTCCTTTTGAGCTGGATAATTCATATTAAGCACATTTTCATGAGATAGCAAGTACATTTTTATTGAATTTGCAAGCTTGTTTAGTTGATGCTAATTCATGTTGTCCTTGAAAGACCATAAGTTAATTGGAGTGGGGGGGGAATCTACAGCTGGTAAGAAAATAAGAACAGTTCAATGTCAAATCTGTTTGTGATGTGTCTGATTGCTCTTTGCTGAAGGATCGGGAATTTGCCCCGAGCAGTGTGGCAATAGTTGGGCATTCCATGGGTGGTCTTGTTGCAAGAGCATTGCTCACTCTGAAGAATTTTAAGCCTGAACTTATAAACCTGCTCATTACACAAGCCACACCTCACATTGCACCTGTAATGCCTTTGGACAAATATCTTATTGGTGAGTATTGCATTTGTCTAACCACATGGTATTTATCTATTGATCCTCTCGAGCTGTGGTGGGGAGATTCTTGCAAATCAACAGCAAAATGTGCTGCTTTATTTACTGTAATGAATCTGTTCCTTTGTTACTCAGGTAGTTGAGGGTGCCAGGCTACTCAGAGAAAGTCAAGTGTGATATAGAAGGGATTATGTGGACTTGAGTTTCTGTGTGATGCCTGGAGCTCTCAATAATCTGTAATTTAATAAGTTGCAGGGCACGTTACTAAATTTGTAAGCTTTCCAGTGAATGACGTATTTTCTTTCTCTTTTTTCTCCTCTTTTGAAACTTGACATCTGTAATGACCTTTATCTTTATTGGATGAGATAGTGTTAGTTCTGTAAAAGGTGATAAATTTAATTATTTTCATACCCAAAGGTTGTACAAGTGAGAATATAAATATAGATGTAATTACATATTTTAAATATTTACAAAAAAGATCATATCTTCCCTCACCTAAATAAGTGTGGCATAAAAATGAAGTATAATCATTACACATGTACTATACACTTCCTGAAAAGCTAGATTTGATTAAACTATACTGATTAAATATGTGTTTTGTGGTATTTGTGCTGCTGCATGGAGATACTCAGGGAATTGGTGAAGGAAAGGGAACAGACATTAATTTTCATTGTTCTCTGTGACACCCAAGAGGAATGAATTATCTTTAGCTGCTCAATTTGATTTATTGTGCTTGTATTAATTCTCCATCCTACAATTGATTTCAGTGCAATGTTTCATCCTTACTGACTGTTTTCTGGACTTCAAGTAAATCTGTGTCTGTCCTTCAAATAAATCTGTGGATTGCTACTCTAACAATATATGTGCTCAGCTGATAAAGAAAATGTATCTTTCCTAACTGCTACCTGTTTGGGTTAAAACAATTTTCCTCTCTTACGTGAAGCAGAAGTGATAGTCAGAGCTCAAATGTCTCCTAGGGGGCTTACAGAAACTCTTAGTTAATGTTTATATAGCTCTTTTTTTTATATCAAATAGCCTTATGGGAAAATGATGATTGATTTTAATATATTTTATAGATTTTTATACAGCTGTAAACAATCATTGGATTCTAAAGGCCCAAGATTTAAGAAATTTAACTACCCTTTCTGTGGCGGGAGGATTCAGAGATTACCAAGTTCGTTCAGGACTGGCTTTTCTACCAAGATTGAGTCAACATGACAGTGCCTTATCTGTTGTGGTAAAAAAGCAAACTGTTTTTTTTTTTTGGTTTTGCATGGAACTGTGCTAGATAGTTATTAATGTAATGCATGTATCAGTGTCTATATGGGCAGCACAGTGTCAATAAATATGAAAATACTGCATGTTCAAACACTAGATGGATACTGTATGGTTATAAAATCAAAAATAGTTGATGTAGTCTAAATGAGCCACCACTGGAGGAGTATGTGTGGCACTGATTGGAATCATCTATCACTGATACTGTTTCTTCTTACCACCTGCTTGCACTTCTTCAGTTCTAGAACCCAAGTTTTATTTCCCTGTATTTTTGCAAGAGGTGTGTATATGGAGAAAGATGAATGTGTAGTATAGAAGTAAAATGGTCTGTTATAAAGGAGAGCTCTGGCATAGCACCTTCTTTTTGTATTTGTTGTTTTTCAAAGATTTAGGAATAGAAAGGATGTAGAGGATCATCAAGTCCAATTTTCTGCTTTTGAGGCATCTATCCTTTCAAAATTAATCAAGGGTCAGCAGGAAGTATTTAGGTTTGTTGTCCATCCTCTCTCCATCAACTTGTTCTCTACATGGACAATGGAGAAGCTGGAAAACACAAGGAGGTGAAGAACTTGTAATTTCCTACTTCCTTTTACTGCAGAAGTCACTTTTTAAATGCCTTTCTTCTGACATCTGCTTAAAATGCTATATGAAATAGCTGTCATTCCCTTGGTGTTTACCTCCCTGTGTTGTACAGAAAGCTGTCTATAAATAGGCTCAGCTCAGATCCTGCTAGGCTAAGAGGATTAACTCTGCATTCCCTTTGTCCTAGTAACCCTTCTCTGCATCTGCTCTACTTTCATTTCTCTTGAGTGTTGGTGACCAGAATTTTGCATGAGATTTCCTGAGTAGTGGTACCAGTTCTTTCTGGCTTTTGTTTGGTTCGTTTTGGAGGTTGTCTTGTGGTTGCTATTGTTCAGTTTGGATTTTTCTTCCCAATGATGCATTAATAGTTCATAGTTTATTTGATTCATGTTGAGCCATAGGTTGATGAGCTCCATTTGTGGGAGGTTTTTTAGATAGTGTTAGTCCCTAAAATGTAATACATGAAATCCATTTAAAGCAAGTAATAGCTTCAGACTGACCAGCCTTTCTTTGTGGTGCTCTGATGATTCTTGCTGTTGAGGACACCCTTGGTTTCTCAAGAACAGCTTTCATTGGCATGCTGCTATTCTCATGTGCCAGGATCAGTTATTAAAATAGTAAGATTAGTCATAGAAGCAGTCTTTGAAGAAATTTTTGGTAAGTTTCCTCCTCTCCATTTTCTGCCCTTTCACCTCTGGTCCCTGCTATCTAACACAGATAGTTTTGTAATTTTGTTTTATCATTTTCATCTTGCACGTGCTTCAGTGCTTGCAAGATGGGTGACTGAAGAAGTCATTCTGCTGCACCCTAAGCCCTGAAACTCTTAAGATAAGGGCTGTTATTTTTAATAATTGTGCAAATATGTTTAAATAAGGAGGGGAAAGTTTTCCATACAGTTTTAGAATTGAGTACTAATAAAAGCTTAATGGTTTTTTTCCCCCGAACAGAGCTCAGCTGTGCCTAGAGCTTGGGCCTCAACTGACCATCTCTCCATAGTGTGGTAAGAGAATGGAACAGAGGTTCATTGACTCACTGTGCATAGCTCTCTTCTCCACTGTTAGCCCTTTCTACCATAATTTAACTTCACTTTATTATTATGGTGAAGTCTCTTCTGACCAGTTTTAACACCCTGGATCTTACCTTTCTAGATTTAATTTTCCTTATTCTGTCTTCTAGGTGCAAAGAACTGATCCTGGCTACCATTAGAGCTTTTTTTGATCTCATAGATGAAAACACAAGGCAGGTCTGTATATGTGATCTCTGTATATTTCCCCATCACACTTTCTTCTTCCATCCCAGAATGTTTAATCAGGAGAAATATCTCCCTGTTTCACAGAAAGCTCTTTCTTGATTATTCGAAATCACGCTGAGAAGTTTCCATTTTGTACCAGTCACTGAGAAATCCCTTTGTGTTGTTTAACCAAAGAGTCAGAAATAAGGTGTTAGCTCAGTTTTCATTATTGACTGCTTGATGCTTTATAGCTGAGCTGTGGGCTGAACATTTCTTCCACAAAGCAGCAGGTTCAGTTGACCTTGCACCAGGATAAACAAATTTTGTTGGATCTGTAGCTGTGAATTTGACCTCTAATGTGTACATAAGAGCAGAGCCCAAGACACAGAAGAGGAAGGATTTTAGATGTTCCTTCTGAGGCTGTTTGAGACAGACTCCTCTGGTTTTTCATGTGTACTTATTTTATTGTGTGATTTTGAGAGTCAAAAAGAGCAGTACAGTTCTGCAGCACTGACTGTGCTAGAGGGTAAAACTTTTCAGAAATCAATTGAAGTGGCCACAGTTTTGGAAAGTGGAATAGATAAAAATTAGTCCTGGAAGGCTGATTTGGAAAAAGCAAAACCAAACCAATCAAAAAACCAAAAATCCCAGCCAAAATCCAAACAAAAGTGAATCCCAGTGTGGCTATACAGCTGGATATGAGAGCTCAGATTAGCCTAAATGTGAGAATTTTTCTTAAGCTCTGGCCTGAGTTTCATTTCAGGAAGAATGCATGTGTGCCTATAAAGAAAGTTTAATGGAATGGTTTGCTGGGTTATGAGTAGGTGAGAATGTAAAACTCCTGAAAGTTTTGGCTGTGCTCAATAATGTGTAGATTTTCTGTATTGCAGTGATTGGCTGTTGGTGGCACTTCAGAGTATTGAATTCAGAACAGAAGGGGCTCAATGACTTCTAACAGTCTCTGCTGCCTTCCCCCCACAAAACTCTATTGCTGGCTGTGATGATGAGGGTGATCCTAAATCACACATGTTGGTAAAAATTGATAATGTGCTTTTGTTTTAGATAACTGAGGATCCAAAGAAGAGAATGTCTGTATTGAATCACCACTTTGTGAGACACCCTGCAAAGATGTATGAGGAAAATCCTGAAGCTTTTACACACCTCACAGGTGAGCAGCAGTTTTCTTTTTAATAGGGTTCAGTGATACTGCTTTGTTAATGGTTAATCTTCTCATTTACACTTTCAGAATACACTTTGTCCTCCTTCAGGCAAACTAAAACAATATACAGGTTATAGACCTAAGCAATCTGTATTTATTTGGTTTTGGTATTAAATTGGTTAACAGGGATAGGTGCAAAAATCTGTCACTTTTCTATAGCTCAGACTCTGAGGAGTCATATTTACACCAGGTTGTCCAGTAGGAAATCTCAGAAAGTGGGAATTGCTGGATGTCAGAAGGGCAGTCTTATCTGCAGTGGTTGCAGGAGGGATTGGAGGGGTGTTGCAGAGCCATTATGGTGATTTTGTTCTGCTCATGGAAATCCTGAACATTCAGACCTGCTCCATCAATCACTTTTCCCCATGACATGGCAGGGTGAAATGAACTGTTCACTGAGGGATTCCTTCTACAGTTCCTTCCTAAGGGTGCAGAGTTAAAAGTGAGAAATTTTGACTACATGGAGTCTTAAGGACTAAACACAACTTTTGTAGAGCAAAGCTTTATTTTGCTGAAGTGGGCTGAACTGTTTTACACAAACCATTTTATTTCAGGAATGTTCTCAGTGTAAGACATTGTAGAAGTACCAATGTAGCTTGTACTTTGCTGTCCAGTTTTGGGCACCCTCTTACATGAAAGCATTTATGCATTGGCATCTCTGAAATGAGTGTGGAGCAAAAGACCACCCAAATGGGCAGTTCCTGAGGTGTGGGAAATGGGGGAAGGAGGCTGAGTGAACTGAGGAATTTCACCCTGAACAAAATGCTGAGGGGGATCATGTTCCTGTTTTCAACTTCCTAATGAAGAATTGGAGAGAAGATGAAGTTAGATTTTTATCAGAGGTTTACAGTGATAGCACAATTAGAAAGTAGAAGGTTTCTACAATTAGGCAGTAAAAATCGTGTTGTAACAAAAGACGTTCTAATTAGGTATTAGGAAAAAATATTTCACCAGGAAAGTCGTCAGACACTAGGACAGGTGCCCAGAGAGGTTGTGAAACTGATATTTTGGGAGGGTTGCCTTTTTTGGGTCAGTTTTTAGCAAGAAGAAAAATTTCTTTTAAATTGGATTTCATGTTTCTGTCTTCCTATTCATGGTGACCTCTTGACATTTAGCTGAATTTCTGTCATGAATTTGTTACTCTCCTTAAATGAGAGAAAGATACAACCTCTTTGCATGCCAATTGGCATTGTTTGTACTCTGAGCTCTTCATTATTGCCTTACTCTTTTCCCTAGGCATATCTTTAAACTGCTCCTGGTTTTTTGTGTTACTCACTTTGCTGACCTTCTTCTGCACGAGTTTCTGTATTAGCTTTCTAAAATGCTGACAGGGACAAAGATTGGGGCTGTTCCTAATGTTGCCTCATCATTAATCACCCACCCTGTAATTACACGAATATAATTTGGTTTATTTGTTCTGTTGCCTTTATTTTGTTTCAAGATCCATGGGGTTTTTATTTTGCCATTAGTATTTATTAACAGGATCCTAGGGCTTTATTGTTTCCTGTGTAACTGATGATAACTGTTGCATGTAATTGTAAGCAGTAGCAATCCTCAGTGTTGATTAAAGCACATAAGGTTTATATCCATATATAGACAGGAGATAAGACCTTGGTGATCAGTAAAATACCAGGTTTTGGATGAAAGGATAATTGTTCCTGCAGTGCAGCATACTGAAATATTTATTTTTAGGAGCTTTCAATTGGATTACAGTCAAAGCCTCAAAATGGACTTACTCAGTTTACAATGTAAGTAATATTTTTCCCCATTGTGTGTTTATATTTTTGTTTGGTTGTTGTGTTGGGGGGGTTGTGGTTTTTTATTTTAATAATGAGCTTTTGTTTTTTTGGGTTTTTTTTAGGATTCTGATGGAAAATATTTCTCATTTCCTCTTGCAAGCCACAGAAAATCATACAGTCATGTTTACTGTGAAAATAGTATGTTGGTGAGAAAATACTTCTTTAATGTCTGGCATTTGTTTATAAAGATGTGATTTTTAATTTCCATTTGCTGCAGTCCTAAGACAATTAATGAGCAGCTGTTGAAATTACTGCCATCCATTTGCAATCACAGCCTAATGCATGTCAGAGGCACTACCTGTTTTAGCATGTCCCACTTAGTACTCAAGATCTGAGACCTTCAGTGCCACCTGAACCTCAGATGTTTTCTTTCCAACTCTCCTGGTTAGCTCTAATTACTGTGTCCTTTGATTTAGTGCAGTTCTGTATCAATGGTTTTGAAGGAAGAAGTTGTTTTTAGTGCTGCTGTGGTTTTTCCATACTTCTAATTTGGGAAAGCTGTTTGTAGGTTTGCTTTCCCACAATAAAATTTAAGTGAGCCTGAAAGGCTGCAGAAATCTTTCACTAAGCAAAGAAAGTGAATGGAAGACAGATGAGGAGACAGCACCATCTCAGTTGTCTCCTATGAAGAGAAAACACCATAATGTGCATTTCTTGTATTTTTAGCTTGAGACACAGATATTCAGCCAAATTTTTTTTCAGTTACTTATACAAGAATGAATTCAATCTCTTGGCAAACTGAAGATGGATAAATACACTTTTCAGAATCACATATTTTACATCAGTAGCAAGAAAAATGAGATGCTTTCCTGTTTCATCCTGCCTGTCCCTGTTGCCTCTCCTCCCCTTGCAGAGATGGCATTCATACCACCACTGTGAGCAGCAGTTGTGTGTGCCTGGTGCTTTTGTATCTTTCTCAGTGGCACCTGCAGTGTTTGCATGTTTGTTGTGACCTCAGCCGTGCTTTGACAGGATAACTTTTCCCTTGTTATGGTGTCTGAAACACAGGCCCAGTACAGCTTGAGAGGAGGAGGGAGGTTCAAAACAAACAAATGTCTGAGAGCTGCATCATGGTGCTGTTGCTTCAGAACACATAAATTCTCAAGGAATGGAGCAGTAGAACGTTAAATATCCCAAGTATTCCTCTACTGCTTAAAAGAGTACCTTGAGATGTTCCTTTTAGTTAGAAGAGATTAAACATGGTGTGTAAGATAGATATTTTTAAAAGAGAATTTATGAAAGCTTGTTTGCTTAATTTTGTATTTATTCATATAAAGGGTGGCAAATTGAAGTTATGTAAAATGGTTCCTAGAAACCCCCACCATTCACTCTGAAGCTTCACCTTTCTGTCCTTGCAATTATAATTGCAAGATTGATATCAGTCCTTTAATTATCATCAGTTTTAACCCTTGCATTGTTTGAAGTAATCAGTATTTTGAATATATTTATAAATGCAATCACACCTAGGTAATGGAGTATTTTATGGTATTGACTTTACAGGACACAAGTAGCTGGATTTATGGCTGCATGAACACTAATTCATCAATGTGGTGAGTATGAACAATTCCTGTCCTTTATTCAAATGGGTTTTGTGAGGCTGTGTGTGAATTTAAAATGTATAAATTATCCTTGGTAGGAAGGGATTGGGAAGTAAAATCATTATTGTAAATAATTCATGCTTTCTCTATCACCAGGAAAACAGGAAAGAATAGCTTTTCTTAAAATAGGTGATATTCCTCTTCAGGGAGCTGTGCTTTTGACCTTCATAGCAAGAGCTGGAGAGGGACCTTTCACAAGGGCATGAGGTGGCAGAACAGGGGTAGTGGCTTTAAACAGCCAGGGCAGGTTTAGGTTGGATGTTGGGGAGAAGTTGTTCACTGTGAGGGTGTGAGGCACTGGAGCAGCCCCCCCATCGAGGCTGTGGATGTCCCACCCCTGGAGATGTTCAAGGCCAGGCTGGATGGGCTCCTGAGTCACCTGGTCTAGTGCAGGGTGTCCCTGTCCATGGCAGAGCTGTTGGAACTAGATGGGTTTTAATGTCCTTTTCAGCCCACTCTGTCATTCTGTTTCTTTAGAACCCTGTGGCAAAGACATCAAATGTCACACAGAGCCTTCAGAAGAGTGGAGTAAAGCATCTCTTTCTTTTTTATTTTAAATTTGCTACTGTCATATGAAAAGTATTTAGAAGGACGCGTGGTTTAGTGGTTGTTTTTTATGACAGTAGTTACAAAATAGATTTAAAACATTGTCTTAGCTTAAATTTGTAAAATAGACTCAAAGTAAATTCATTCTACCCTTCAAATTAGGGAAAGCTTTCAGGCAAAATTGAACAAGCAAAGTTTGTATCTGTTCTGGGGTCACTGAGGTGTACAGGCAGAGTCTTGCCTCCAGCAGGTAGCCAAATGCCACAGTTACTTTTTCCTGATCCAAGAAGCTGGCTGTGACTCCTCTGTAGAACCTTTGATCAGCATGAAGTGATGAACTTAAGTAGCAGTTCAGGACTGCTACTTAAACCTCATCTAACAATTATGGGTTGGTTGTGGACTGTCCTGAGGGCATGAACACTATTTAGAGAAACAGCAGTATTCTGGTATTCAAAAAATCAAAATCTGGTGACCAAATGGATGTGTTGCAGTTCAGTGTGTGAACACATTTTAGAACTGCTACAGCCAACAAAATTTTTTATTTATATTCTCTATTTTAGGTATTTCCATAGGAAAATCTGTGGTTTTGATGTTTAACAGATGCTAATAAAACTGCATAATAATTCAATGCTGATGCAGTTTTAGCTCATGAAAAGTTTTGTCTTCGTGTCTGAGCTGCCTGGCTAATACATGCTGCAGGTTTTCTGTATGAGAGAGTTGGAGCTTTACTTGGCTTGATTTTGCACAAATAAGATTTGCACTATCTGAAATTACTGCAGTTTGGTAAATTACTGTGGTAGCAGTGCAGCCAAATTTCTTCTCAATTTAAAATGTTAATTCAGAGAGAGAGAGAAGCTGGTATATTAATCCACTGCCATAATGCTGGGCCTGCATAATGAATATGCTCATCCTTTAATGTGCATGGATTTTTACAGCCTGGAAGCTGCTGATTTATCCTGGAGAGCTGAGTTACTTCCAACCACCAAGGTAAGTGTGGACCTAACTTGGAGGGGGGAGAGGTGTTTCAGGGGGTGGTTGCAAGTCATAGAGGAAGGAGCTGTTGTGTTTGGAGCATTGGGACAGATTGCATTCCACAGGAGAGGGTACAAGAGGTCAACAGCTGGGAACTGGCAAGGGGCAAGCTGAGGGGTGTGTTCATTCATGGCTTTGCTACTTCCTTCTTTCTTCCTTCCTTTCTTTTTAAGGTTGTAATGCTGAAACTTCTGGACTACTCTTCTTTGTCCCACATTGTCATTCAGGTACCACCTGCAGTTGGCAATAAGGTAAAAAAACACCACATTCAGAAATTGCTTGCTTAGTGTATTCATAACTTTCAGGGGCTATGACAGGAGGAAGAGGAAGTATATTTAATATGTACTGAGTTACTTTGAGAAGCCATAGACCCACAGTGTAGTGTGGTTTGAAAGTAGCTTCTGTAAGCTCAGAAACACTTTGATAAAATACCAAACAATGAGGCATGAACTGTGCTTGAAATATGTACAAGGCCATGGCTCTCAAATCAGTTCTTAGAGTTCCTGCTGAAGATTCTAATGGTAATCTTCCTTGTTCTTCTTAATCCTCTGATTGTTTTCCTGAATGTTCATACCTTTGAACAGTCATTTCTCTTACCCAGGTTAGCAGAGGTTACAGAAAATGGAAGGCAGCACACCTGGATTCTGGGAAGCATAGGTCAGGTAGCTCTGCTAGCTCTTGAAACACAAATGGTGTAGTAGCCTGAGTTGTGCAGAGTTCAGCAGTGTGACTCTCACAAATGAGATGGATATCTTTGCAGCAAGAGCTCTCAGGATCCCAGTAAGAGGACATTTGGAGGCTTGGTGTGTTACCCATGTGGATCTGGCAGACCTTTCCAGTTAGTCCTGGAAATGGCAGAGTACTGAATTGGAATTTCCAGTAAGATGGATCAGAGCTGACATTGCTTTCTGTGACACAAATAACAGTCTCTGAGTCTGTGGTATGTTAATCCATGAGCCAAGAAGTCATTCACAGCACAAATGAGTGTGATGTTCTTCTCTGAGTGTGTCTTCAGATAGTTGTGACAGAGGCATCTTGCAGTGAAAGTAGCAATGCACAATGTTCAGTAAGCAAAGATAGAGGAGAGATCACTTGGGAAATGTAATTTGGCAAGTTCAAAGGCTTTCTAGTTTTGTGCTTTGGTTTAGATCTGTTTTTAATATCTTCAATTGCAGTATACTTTGGGCTGTGAATTCTTCAAAGAGGATTCCAGAACAGTCCAGCTCCCTGTAACACACATTTTTTCATTTGGTAAGTATAGCATATTGCTTTTGGAAAAAATGGAAAACTAATATAACTAACCTTTGGATAATAAATTTGCCTAAAAATATCAGGTCAGGAGGTTTTTGGGAGTTGTTTTTCACTAAAGCTAACACTGCTTTTGTTAACAACAAAGAAATAAGAAATGTGGGGGTTTAGACTTACAGATATGAAAGTATGTAATTCTCCTGGAAAAGAAATAATCTGAATATGTAGTGACTTCTCAGATAATTGTATCTAATAAGTGAAAATATTGTATCCTTTCCAGGGTTTTCTTCAAGCAAAATTCTCTTAAATTCAACTGGATTACTTTACAATGTGCAGCTCCAGCACTTCAACCAGGTAAGAATTCTACCTCAGTTTTTAAGGTAATGTAACCACTGTTTGTCGGGAGAAAAGTGAGTGAATTCTATTTTTTTGTGTTCTAGATATATCAAGCTTTCAAAATTTATATAGACAGTCACTGCCAGTCACTCAAAGGTAAATAGAAGTCTTCTAAAGTACAAATTTATAAAACAAATTGTTGAAAATTTGTAGGAGCTAAAGTGTTCTCATGCAATAGAGTTTAGCAATGCTGCTATGGTCTGTTCAAATGTGTCTGTTGTTATCTCTCACTTCCCTCTTTAAGAAGGATGGATCAACAAAAATGAGGAATTAGTATTTTAATGTTTGTTTTTCTTATTTCCCAGCAAAGGGAAGTTGAATTTCCATTTCAATTTCAGGATTATGCCTTGTATTGAAAGTGTTTTTTGAGAAAAGCACATTTGCCTAGGATTTTTACAAATGTGAATGTTGAGCTATGTAAGCTTTAACAGGATGTGTTGCTAAAGGACACTGTTTCAACAAAAAGAAAGTGATGAATTTTATTAGACTAAGGTGTTGTTTCATATTGAAAAGCAGAACTCTTCTCAAAACTGTTCTTCTTTTAAACATTGATGCCTCACTGTCTTTTTCTGTAATAACCTGAGTTTAACCATGTCATTTTTGTTTGCTGCTGACTGCTCTGATCTGCATTGCAGTGTCAATGGCAATGTAACTGCAAGCCCAGAGATTCTGTGTAGTGATCTGTGTGCCGCCTTTGTTTTACTGGCCCTGGAGTTTTTAGACACAGTTGCCACATGTTGTTCTTAGTTAAGTTTATATTTTTTAATGCTGTTTCATTTCAGAAAGAAAACCAAGTGTTTACAGACTTCATATCCCCTGGTCATATGAAGACTCAATAACTGTAGCAAAGTAAGGACTTTAACAATTGATGACTTCTTCATATGTTTTTTAAAGAATATTTGCATCCTCTTGTAATATTTCTGATGTGAGACAGTTTATCCAGTCTTAAGTGTTTGGCTTCTGCATATTTTCCTCATTTACCTTTCTGCCCTTGTTGACACAGTTGTTTTGACTTTTCCTAGAATAAGGATACCTACCAATTGTTTGCTTAATAGTTCTCACTAATTTTCTTGTAAAAGAAGTCAGATATGCTGGTCTGAAATTCTCAGGATAACCATTGACCTTCTCATGAGTGGAGAACAGTGGCTGCTCTGGATGCTGGCTTCCTCCTGGAAGCCAGGGTTTGGATTACAGCAGCCTTATGTTTGCTTCAGCAGCATAGTCCTGACAAAATCAAATGATACAGCTTGAAATATATTTGTCACATATGAAGTTGAACAACCTGACTGTATTTTGGATGGTAGGAAAACTGTATTTCTAGTTTATTTTAGAAGTCTTAAGGATACCTCACAATTTCCAGCCCCCTCTGTTTTCCAGCAACATAATACTTTCAGGAAACTGAATTGTATTCCTGAGGATATGTTCTGTCCCTTCCTGGCACTCAGGATATTTGCATGTTCTGTGTGTTCACTGAACCTTTCTGCATTCCTTAGTGCCAAGTCCCAGGACAGTTCAGAAGAGAGGGAACTGAGAATGTTACACAGTTCTTTGTGACAGGATGAACAAGTTCCTTACACCATTTTGCTCCCAGCTTGAGGTGACACTTGGTGTGGTAGATCTGCTTTATGTGCACTTGTTGAGGACTGAGACACCTTTGGTTTTTCTGTTGGGTCACAAGGGCAGCAGTGACCATGTAAGTTGCTGTTTCAGAGTTCCATCTCTTGCTGAGATTTCTGCCAAACTGCACATTGCTCAGCCCCACAGTGACAGCAGCCTTCCAGAGTTAAACATCTACTCTTCCCCTGACTGTCAGTATGAAGTGAGTAAAACAGTTTGATTTTATAGCTAGTTTGCATTGCTGGATAATATTGCATAATTCAGTTTTTAAACCATAGCTAATTAATCTAAATAAATACTAAGCAAATCTAAAGGTGGGCTGTTTGGCCTATTTCAAATGTAGTGTGTGTTACAAGTATTTTGCAACAGCTGGGTTAGTACTGAAAGTTGGACTCTAAAACTTTAAAGCATTTGCTTTTAATTGTCAATAGTAAGGTGTTGCACATTTTAGTTGTAGGATTGCTGTATTCTAGAACTTAAATTTGCTTCTTAAAAATTGAAGTATTTTGTGCTTATGCTTACTGTTGTATGAAACAATATGTTTTTTTTCAAGGTAATTCTGAAGACATCACTTCTACAGGTTCTTGGGCAAGTAAGAAACCCTAATAATAAATTGATTTTTCTATGTCAGTAGCATCTATAGAAATTTTTACTTCCTCCCTTCCTTACTGTGGCACTTGAGGTTCCTTCTCAATGCCAAGAGGAGCACTATTCAGTGATCATTTTGCAGCCTTTTCCCTTGGCAAGGATCCCTCCTGGATGAATGTCAGGCCCTGGTCCTTAGAGGAGCAGAAAAGCTCTCTAGCTCTAAAGAGCTGCTGTAAATGTGGAGTATGTGGCTTTGTGGTGAGCTCAATATCTGTAGGTCACTTTAACTTTCTAGCCTGATGAGTCAGTGGTGTTAGAACTTTAAAATACATTTGGCATCAATTAAGTTGGGGGAAAAAGTCTAAGTAGGTCCATATGTTCCTTTTCAACATATCTTCTTCGGTTATCAAATGAAGAATACATTTCGACATGGGGATCAGTAAAAATAGACTGGCCATCTGCAGCTCTCTGCAGCTAAAGAGTCATTAATGTGCAAGCACCTAAGTGTAGTGCTGGAATAAAACTGGCAAGGTTCTCTGCATGAATTTATTCATTCAGAGCAAGGATTTTTCATTTTGTTGTTATTTTACAACATTTATAGAATTTATAGGCTATTGGTTATTGGTTATTAATCATTACTTGAGAGAGTGGAAGCCAATTAATACATGCATATAATTGCTTCCAAAAGTTCCTTGCCTAAAAGCATAAATAACTATATGCAGATTTTGCTTGAAAAGTGGCCTTTAAATTGTTTTAAATTTACTTTACTGAAATGTAATACTTGATTTTTTTCATACTTGTCTTGACTGGGGGAAAAAACCACAGTTTTTTCTAATTTGATCATTTATCCAAACCTGTGTCATTAACTGCTTATGAGAGATTCTAATATTTCCCACCTATAACATTAATTGTTATTAGAGATTATCAAATATGCATTTAAATGAGAAGCTGGAGCTTTTAAGAAAGATTTTCTAATCTCATTATCATTCTGGCTTCATGATAATATTTGTGTATGTGTTTTTAAAATATATTTTTATAGATAGAAATGAAGTTTTCCCTTTATCCTTGTCTTTCAGATAGTAAGGTTCCATGCTGGTGCTTTTCCAGTCTATATTGTTTCTAATATTCTTCTTACTTATGGAGGACAACTGAGCACATTGAGATCAACAGGTAGCTTTCTAAAAATCTGTATATTTTTCTCTGTCACAAGTGTATTTAGAGAAATTGTTTATTGAATCTACTGATGAAAGACTAGCTAAATGTGAATTTTTTAAGCTAAATATCATTCAAATTATGGAAATACTTGGATCCATGCTCTTCATTTTAATTTTTTTTGGCTGGCAGTTCTTCAAGGTTGTGTTGTAGCAAAATATTTGTTTATTATTATTTATTTATTATTTATTTATATATCTTTTGAATTGCTGTCCCTCTCTGTGAAATATTGGTGTTGCACAGTCGTTTAGAATTATCAAGAATCTACTTAAAATACATGTAAAAGTTTGAAATACATTGTTAACGTGTAGAAAACACTATTTCTTGCAGGAAGATGAGATTTGCATTACAGCTTTGGTTTGCTGTCATGTCTTCAGCCAAAAGGCATTTTTATTAAAATTCAGGAGGTGTTTGTACAAGCCCCACAATGTCTCTAGAAGCTCATGTGCCATATTACCGTAACGTGGGTACCACATTATTACCTTCATGTGGGTGACCCAGGGGAGGAAGGGCTTGGTGGCAAAGTGTGCAGCCTTGCAGTGCTCTTACAAGGCATGGTTATCTTGTTTTCAAGTCAACTCTCATTGTCAGAATTTATATTTTGTTGTGGGTGATGTTTGTTGAAGTTCATGCCGTGGCAGTAACTACAGATGCTCTCTGTTCTTGATCCTAGGCCAGTGTTCAGACTTCTCCCTCCAACTAGTTAGGACAGCAAAGCCCTACAAAGTAGAACCTCTCATAAGCATTGTTGTGTTTCTGCTGGGGTGAGTTGGCATGATTTATTTGTTTCAAACAGAGGTTTCAGTAAAACTCTTGCTAGGGAGGACTGTTATTTTATCTGTAGTCACTGTAAACACCTGTCTGTTATTTTGCTTAAAAGACTGTAATAGAAGGAATAGTTGATAGGTATCTAATAAATAATACTGCTTTCATGTTTTTGGCAGGTTTAACTGGTTTAGAGAGATCTGGGAGTCACTGTCACTGCCAGAGGTGGATGCTGCTGTACTGAGTAGTCAGGATGCATGGTTCCCCCTTGTGTCCCTGATTCTATTTCTTTTTGGGACAGGCATTGCCTACTGGAGTGGAGTATTTTTCTCTACATCTCTGAGACTCTTCTCTTCATTATGGTTAACTCTGATTAGGTAAAACAACTTGATGCTATATAATTATGCTCTTCTAGATGACTTTAACCCTGACAATTATTTTTTTGTTTGTTTGCTTTGGTGTGAATGCTTGGGCAAGATTGAATTCTGGGTAGATTGAATTTATACATGATTTTAGACATCTGGGCTTGAAAACAAGCAGAAATTGATGTCTGAGAAGAAGTACAACAGGAGTTTTGTTTCTGGTTTGTTTGTTATTTTAGACCTCCTGAACTTCAGAAAGATAAGTTGATTACACCCAGCAGACTCTGTGGGATGATATCTCTTGCTTTGGTTAGCTGGACCACTTGTGGTGCATTTGCTGTGCTCATTATTTATCTCCAATACTTGTTCAAGGTACTGAAAGGCTAAACATTTTGTATATGTAACTGAATTGAAAATTGTAGGTGCTTTGAATTAATCCCAGGTTAAAAGCAGAAATCCAGATTACCCTTTTTCATACATAAATGTTGTTATTCTCATACTTGAAACAGATATTTCTAATTTATCACTGTCATAATCCTATAATCTGTAGAATTTTTTTCTTCTTTTGTTAATGCTTCTTACAAAGAAATGTGTGGTCTGACATGCCCACTACAACAATGCAGAAAATTGAAAATTTTAACTTCTAGCTAGGCAATACTATAAAAACAAAGACTAGTAGCTCCCTTGAAGAGTCAGGAGTCCTCAATTTCTTTTCCTGTACTACAACTTTTGTGTGAAGAATCCTTACTAAACAAGCAACTGCTTGTCTTCCAGGTTGTAAAACTGCATGTAACTGTAAGAGCAGAGCAAAACATACACAACAGGGTGAGTCTGTTTCCTGCTTCTGTTCCAAACTCTGGCCAAAAATTGTCTGGCAAATTTCTGCCTAGGTACCCTTAGGTTGTGCTGCAGTGACTGGATAGGTGTAGTTCACTTGCTGCATGTGTGGTGTGAAAGAACAGGCAGGCCATGAGCAGCCTGCTCCTCACACATGACTGCTGTTGGAAGTTTCTGCAATGTGAAATTCTCATCTAAGAAGAAAAGTGTCTCTGAATACACACAGATTAACAGTGTTTGTCTAAATTTTGGTATTTGATTATGCATGGCTTGTCTTAAAAAAAAAAAAAAATTCTAGGTAATAATCTATACTACAGGTAAAACTGATTTTTCTAGAGAGGCATTGTGTGGAGTTCAAGGTATTTTAGTCCAGAGATGACAGAAAAGATGTGTTAGATGAATATGGACTGAGACTGATGTAAACAGGGAGCTGCTGAAAACACAGTGAAGAAGTGTTGGGTTCCAAGTCCATGTGGACTTTATTTTCTGGATTACTTTCAAGTATAGGATCAAAGATGTAAGCAGGTGTGGATAACAGCATATGATAAGTACCTGCTCCTTTTTGCAAACATACAACAAAGTCTGACACAAAAAGTTGTTGAAAGTTTTCTTTGGGTTTCTTTGAGTGGGTTTTTCATGTATTTAGTTGAAAATCCTCTCCTTTCATCTCTGTATAATATTTTGTTTCGTTTGTGGGGGTTGCTGTCACTGGAAGTTAGTATCTGCCAACTCATTCATTTATCTTTGCTGTTTATTCCTGCAGGTAATATTTTACTCCCAGTTGCACTACTTCCTATATCTTTCCTGTGAATGATCATCTGTGATTTTTCACCCCCGTGCTTTATTGCTCCTTTTATTTTGTTCTTCCCCCTTCCAGGAACTGCTTTTCATTTCATTGGATTCAGGGCATTTACAGTCTCCATTCTTTTCTTCCATAGACATATAAACTATTAGTGTATGAGAAATTTCTGGTTAGATTTAGATACTTTAAAATTGGACTTTACTTTTGGTGGCATTTTGAGGCACAAATTGCAGATTTTCTTCCTAAATCACAGCTGGTGTGATGCTGTTAGGATATTTTTCCCTTCCTCTTTCCTCAGCATGGGTTCTTACAAGCCTGTGCACATCTTTGTGACTTCTGTCTTTCATTTCCAGGATTCAGGCCACTCAAAAGAAACTTCACAGAACTCCAGTACACACACAGTCAAAGCCCAGAGTTCAGTGGGCAGCGTTCCAGAAGCAACACAGTCTCCCTCCAACAGTAAAACATCTGCTGAAGCTGCTAACAGTCTTAAGCTGCACACTACAGTCCTTAATTTATTCACGTGGATTGTGCTGCTCAGCTTGCCATCTTTAATTTATTGGTTTAAAAACCTCAGGTAAGTTCTTAAATTGACACAGAGGTGGAAGAAAGTTACAGGAACTTTTGAAGATAATAAAAATTATAAATGTTTGGTTCTTTACATTATTAGTTACCTTACAGTTGTAAAGAGTACTGTTAATTCTTATTGTTTTCTCTATGCTGTCTGGTTTGTATTGTGGTGTAAATAGGTGTTAAGTGAATCAGTGACATGTTGAACAAAGTAATGTTTCAGAAGGGGTTTAAAATCAGGCTGGGATGCCATATTGATTTCATGTATATTTTTTGTCATCAGCACATGGATATTTTTTGGCAGCCTAGTTTAGAAGTGATATGCTTTTTAAACCATTTCTTTGCAGGTACAATGTTAGGCTTGATCCTGATCCCTGTAGAACCACAGCTATTATCCTTGTATGCATCTTAGAAATCCTAATGAATTCAAGTACTTCTGAAGTGAAATCAAGGTACTGTAGCCCAATCTCTAGTTTTGCTTTCCTGCTTCTTTGTGAATTACCATTTGTGTGGTAAAACTTAATTTATGTTGTAATTGTTCAGCCTCTGTAGAGATTCATGTACTCATATGGTTAAATCTAAAAGATGAACTAAAATGTGCGTGAAGTACCTCTAGTTCAGCTAAGAGGAAAAAATCCCCTGTGTTTGCCACATGGAAATAAATGAAGTATGTGCTGTCTAAGCAATTGGCTGCATAATAACTTCTTGAAATATGACTTCTTAACTCACAATTCATTGAATCCTTTCATGTGTCACAGAATCCAAATATGTTGAGCAATTATTGTCAGTTACAAGGAAAAGGGAATTCTACAGGATTGTAGTTATGTTCCTGTAGCTCCCCTTATGGGAGTAGAAATAGAATGTGTTCTCTACTGGACTAAGAAGTTCTGGGAATTTGGTTTTGCTGACAGAATATTTCTTGTTGAGATACGAAATTAGTTAATGTCTCATGAGTGACAATCAATAATAACAAATGTCATTTATCCTCTTGACCAGTACCTATTATCTCAAGTGATCTAAACCATTAAGTCCTCTTATGTTACAGAGAACAAATTTCTTAATTATTATAGTTTAATGACATTAACCTTTTTGAATAATTTCTCTTGCTTATGCATCAATTTTTATGGCACATTAGACCTAGTTGTTCAGTTTTAAAGATTAACAAAGCCTTGAAATAGAAATTATTTTGCAAAGGAAAATTATATATGGCATTTGCATACTTTCTGCATATGTGGCTACAAAATTATAATCTTTTTCCTTTCTATTCTTACAGTAAACTCCTGAAGATTGCAGCCAAAGTTCCACTCCCTTTGTCTGTTGCAATGCTGGCCTTTGGACGAATGCATTTATACAGAGTCCCACACTTTGTAACCTTTTCTCTTCTTCTACATGCGCTGTGCTGTTTTGTGTAATGTTCATTCTATATAGGACAATGCACCCCAGAAACTTAACTCTGGAGATGGGAAAAATTGCAACACAGAAATGCCTAAATTAATATGATCAGTAGTTTACATTTTGTGGGAAAGAGGACAGAACTGTGAATACTTTACAGAAAATTTATGGTTTTATTCATGTTGCTTAGAAAACCTTTCCTGGTATTTATTTCATGTCTCTGAAAATGGAGTGATTTAACTGTGTATAAGCACATGACTCATATCAGTGCAACATCTCAATACTCTGCCTTGTAGACACTTTGGTATTTCACTGTACTGCTTTGTGGAAACCTTTTTTACTCACTGTGCCATGCAGTGTCTGTGTTCTGAACTTGCATCTCTTGCAGGTCTAAAGTATGCTGGTTAAAACTCAATACATTTCAAGCACACTGTGACTATCACAAAAACCACACAGCCAAGTATACTTTGAATGATTTTATGTTACATTCAAAAGCTGCCACATTTGTGTCTAGACAAACTAGAATGTACTGCTTATATAGAACTGTTATTTCTATCAAATCCTTTGTTCAATCAGTGTGAGTTGAACATTTGTGAGATTATTGCAAGTCTTACACATTTTACTTTTTGTGAGAGTGAGAAGACAACAGTATTCTATGTAGCTTTCTATTCAGGAAGGATACCAGCAGATTCATAAACAATTTGCTGTAATGTTGTTTTAAAACATTGTCAGTTTTCTCTGGAATTTTGAAATTAATCCTTGGACTTTGTCCATATGTGGAAGCTAGCAAACATTGAGATATGCTGTGAGTTACCAGTGCAGTTGCTGCTCTCTTTCTAAGTAGACAAGGCAGGCTTTATTCCTGTTGTAAACAGAGAACCAACCATCTCCTAATAAATGCCAATACATAAAATGAATATGGAATAGTTACAGCCCTGCAAATTCCTGTCCTGCCATACAGTGCTACCTTCTGCATGTGGGCAAACTCAGTAATAGTGGGAAATACTGACCATAATTATCAGCTCTGTATAAATTTTATCTTAGTGCCTAGATGCTACAGTGACTGCCATTTGTAATAAAGCCTACAATAGCTATGTGTAAGGAATTCTGTCCCCTGGGCATGTGTTTTGCCAACAGAAGAAATCTCAGCAGTCCTTAGGTTTAAATGATGTATTGATTCTGTGTAGAGATGAGCTTACTACTTGCTTCTGTGTTAGCTGTCTCTGCTGTGTCTGAGATACCTGTTACCTTCAGCTGGAAACACTAGACCAGCTCAATCATCACATAGGAATACCAAGAGGAAATCTGCTGCTCACAGTCAATCAAGAATACTCTTGATCCAGTAGTACAGCCAGCCTGACCCATTAATTCTATCATATCTTAATAATCTTGCCTAAGTGCCTCAGTTATTTCTTATGTGTTGTTAGGGTCAATTCCTTTGAGCAGCTGGCTGGAAAGACTCAATTCACACAGTGACTTTCCAAAATGAAGGACAAATGTGAAGAAAGCCACGTGTGTTTTGTTTGCTTATATCCATGTCAGCAGTTCAAGTTATTAATAAGTCATTACAAGTGCTGTAACTGAGTAAGGGTATTGTAGTTAGCCAAACCACTGTCACTGTTATCAGTCATCTGTGTGCTGGTATTCTAGTCTTAACCTTTTCAAAAAGAAGGTTAGATTATATATCGTGTTTGTAAATCAGAAAAGTTATTTGAATAGATTATATCTTGATATTTTCTAATCAAATGTATGCTACAGTATATGTATATAAGATAATTTGTGTGACTTAATATACTTGTAGCTAAATGCACCAGTTGGTTTAACTAGGAATTGCTGTTCAGACATAGAAGAACAGAGTTGTTGTACTTGCAAATGGCTGTGAATGAAAGATGGTGGCAGAACTGCACAGGGCTGGCAAAGGGCTGTGAAATGTGCAGGGTCTGATTTCTGTGGAAGATAGTTTTCCTCGACTTTCATAGGCCCTTTGGCTTAGTACTCTCTTTTACTTCTGATTTTGTTTTGCCACCTTAGCAGGCTCTTTCTGCATGAATCCATTTGTTGGAACTGTTGGAAATGAAACAGACTCGATATTTGGTATCTTTGATAGCTTTCAAAATGTGCCATGAAGTGAAACCTACTGAATTACAGCAGTTTAGGATAACACTTTTTTTTTTTTTCATTTAATGAATTTTTTTTTTAGCTGGAGCTCTATCGATGATTGTTAGAACTCTTCATAAAGTGAGTTCTGGTATCTTGTGTATTTTCCTGCCTGATTCTCAGGTTGGAGGTAGGAGTAGGGATAATCCTGAGTCTTAGATCCCAGATGACAAGAGTTTTTCACATCTCACTCAACACTCTCTTTTCTCAGAGATGGTTTACCTTTACTGGGGAAAGGAGGGGAAGTTTTACTCCTATTTTGAATTGAAATGCCTTGTGTGCCATTTAATAGATTTAAACTGTTGGCAGGGATGTGTGTCTGGATTGTGCAGTGATCGTGGACTGGACAACTTCAGCTGTTTGGCGGATTAGGAGTTAATCCCAATTAGATTTGCCATACAATTAATGGATGGTAATAGGATTAGAACAAGTCTTAGAATTCATCCCGTTCTGAGAGAGGATGAATTGTCCTACTTGTCATTCTGAAAAGGACTAGATTTTGTAACAGTCTGAGGTTGTTTTTTAGGTAAAATACAATGATTGTTTGTTGTTACTTTTGGACAAGAAGGTAAAGTAGGTAAATCTGTAGTTCTGCCACTGTTCAATTATTATTACAGCAGAAACATAGGATAACCCTATATATATATATATATATATATATATATATATACACTGTTAATTGCTTACACAAGGAGATATAAATATTATTGAAATATCTTTTATTATGAGTGGGCTGCCTATATAAAACAGCTTTTGGCAAAAACAAAGGTAGTATTTGGCAAATACTACCTTTAATTGCATTAAAAGTCCACTTTATTCTTCACATTTTAGATTATCTAGACAGTGTGGGAGGAGACCAGGGCACTAACTGTAAGGGTTTAGACCTCAGGATACATTCAAAATAAAAACTATTTATGTGGATCTAATATGATTTTTTTAATAAGTTCTTAGAGACAGAATGAGGAAACAGGGTAAGACCTTAAAATATTAAATGCCACTAACTTTTGGTACAGCAGAGTCTTTCTTTGACAGGGAGAGATTTAATGAGAAGCTTTGGTGATAGCTTCATACCCTGAAATTACTCTGGAAGACTGTAATCTTTTCTGCTTGATGTCATCAAACATGTTCCTCACAGTCTCATCATGCTATGTATCTACCACTTCATAGAAAATCTCTGTGTCTGATAAGGAAAAACTCACATCTTCACTGGAATTGGCAAATGCACCTTGGAACTGAGTGAATTAATGTTGTCCAAAGCCAATCATCTTAGCTGTGATTTAAAAGTTGCAGTGGGTCACATTTCAGCATCCTGTTGAAAGAGGATTGGTTTGGGGGTTTGGGTGGGAGGTTTCTCTGTATGTTTTATTTCCAAGAAACCTGCAGTAAATGGAATTTAAGTTAGTATTATATCTGACATTTAGAGTTCTGCCCTGATTTTGGTTTTTTCATGTAGCAAATCCTTAGTATTAATTTGCTATGTTTCAAAACAAGTAGATTTCTAATGACAGAACTGTGAACAGTGCAGTAGGAATACACTGTAGAAGGCATAGAGACTGGTGGTATGCCTAAGTGAATTTTTCATCTATAACTAATTGGACTAACTTTAAAGTCAGTGATTAACAAAATGTATTGACATTTAACCTCAAAAGCATTGCATATATCAGTGTTTGATACTTCTCATTTTCCATGTGTTTGCCAGTAACAAGTGATGAACTCACTTGGTGTTCTGAAATCTGATAAATCTGATCCATCTGACAGCACAGAATAAAGTCTGTTATGTAGTCATTAATAAATGTAAACATTTGAGAAACTTTCATTTGAATCAAGTTTTTTCAACACAGGGTTGAGTGTGTTTAGACTTTTGTTGTATTTATACTGAGATAAAACCAGCCATTTACTGACCTTTAACACTCTGAGCTATGAAAATGTTTTTGGAAGTGGCTGTAGAGTCTGTACAGAATTGTGCTGCTGTTCTAAGTCACTAAGCTACTAGAAAATTGTTAGTTATAAAGTAGACTGAATTCTTGATGCTTATTTTCCATTTAATGTTTTAATGGTGAATGTTTCTCGCTTAATTTACAGCTTTGACTTATTGCATTTTTTTTTTTCTGGGAGATAATCAGTTTAGCTTTTGTAAGCACTTAGCACTGTAAAATATAAAATTCTCATCACTATTCCTTTAGGGGAGACATACTTTTGTCACCAAAGCTCCATACTGCTGTTGTATAGCCTCCAGGAAATGTGTGACAATGAAGGACAATTCAAAACTAGTCTGTTTTTTATTTTAAAGTACAATTTTTACCTTTTTTTTTTAGAGCCAGAACTTTGAACTAGAATATTAGAATCCATAAAGTCTTAAAAATTTTGAAAACCTTTTGCAAAGACTATACTTCCTGATGTATATTTTTATTTATGAGTGAATGTGTTCAAAGCTTTTAATCACCTCATCTATCCTCAAACTCAATTAAAAAGTATACACTTTGTCTTATTAATAGACACTGCTTCTTTTAAAAATGAATTTTAAGCATTTAGAGAGAAAATTCCGTAGCTCTTACTTAAGCAAATCTGCCCAGCCCTCAATTTTTCATGTGTCTAAGCACATAACTGCCTCAAATATGTGCTTATTGCCTTGTAGGATGAAAACCTGAACTGTGCTATTTTGAGTTTGTTTGCTTAAGATGTAAGGTTTCTTTCTGAATTTTTAAATGCAGACAGATTTTGCTATTCATGCTGTCATAAATAAATCCTGTAAGCATTGTCTCTCTACAGTTACTGGCAGCTTGTGCTCTGAATCTGTGGGAATGTGTGGTGTCAGAGCTGAGTTTGTCTCTAAAACCCAGGAGTGTGAACATGATAATATTTGTTATTTGTGGCACAGCACTGTGGGTCCTCCATCCCCATCTCTCTCTGGTTTGCAGTGTCCCTGGCCTGTAGTGCCCAGGAGTTCCCAGAGCAGTGCAACTGGGACTGGCCTGGCAGAAGTGCAGCAGCTTTGTCCTGCAGACTCCTCCTGTTTGTTAAAATATCAGCCAAGACTGTTTTCCCCCTCCAACTTCAATAATTCCAGGGTATATCCAAGTATCAAATGTGCAAGTGTGCTGATGTTTATTTTTGCAAAAGGCTAAGTGCACTGTTTTAGGATCAATTCAGGTTTCAGTATTTTCCACCCACTTGAGTCTGAGTTTGGAAACAGGATTTGAGGCTGCAGCACCTGGAATGCTTTACAGAAGTCTACAGGAAGTAGACAGGACACATGATTAGAGTGCCAGACCAAAACTGAAATGTGAAATTCCTCACTGTGACTTTAAACTTGTAGCTTTCTAGAGAGAGAAAAAAAATATATATATACTGTGCCTTAAACCAGTAAATGAATACACTCTGACTGTAGCCTGTGGACTTCCATAGCCTTATGTTTGATTTTTGAAGTTGACCAAAATTATTTGTGTGGATCATACTGAAACTTGATTTGGGAAAAATGCTTAAAAAATTATTTTGACCCCATTTTACTCTTAGAGAAATAAAGATTTATGACAAGTGCAGCATATTTTTTGTTTGGAATCACACCAACCAAAAATCAGAAAGCTTTAGCTGACCTGAACTTTTCAAGCCTTTCTGTTGTGACCAGAAGAAAACTAAGGAAGGAAAACTAGTTGCAGATATCTGTCTCAGCTTTGAAGTCTGTGTGTCAAATTATTTTAAAACATTTTGATATTTGATCCTCAATTAAAAAAAAAAAAAAATCTCAATTTTAGTTTAAGCGTAATACTGTATTTAAGCAATTAAATAGCAAAATCCTCACCATTGTGGGAAGAAAACTACACAGGGGCAGGGTTGATTGTTTGTGTTAAGACTCCAGAAGTTTTGAATACTAAATTTTACTTTTTATGAAAAATATTCACATATAAATCCCTGGAAGTTCACATGTAGATTCCCTTTTTTGGAGAAAAAAAATTACACTTTTTTATCCTAACTCATTAAGAAAACTAGAAATACCTAAGATCTTAAAATCTTGTTTTAATATAGTAGAAGGATTTCTTATGTGTATTTTTTAATACAAAGAGCTCAGGAAAAGCCACGGCTGGCTTTTCTTATTTGTCTCTAGAGGATTCTTTGCATGTTTTGAACAAATTGTGATTTTTTTCCCCCTTCCCATATAGCACTGAACCTTTGGGTGATTAGTGGGGAGGGAAGGATTTGTTGGTTGTAAAAGGACTTAAAACTTTGAAGAAAACGTGTAATTTTGGGGAAAATCTTATCACTTCTCAAAGCAATCTGTCTTAGAAGTTTTTAACTCTTCCTCTGTGTTCAGTTATTATGTAACTACCACAAATCTGATGTTGTACATGAACTCTTAATATTTACAGGTTTTTAGAGATGTTGACAGGGTCTTATCTATAAATGTTTGAATAATGCTATAGCAAATTGCTGTGCTTATAAAAATGTTTATAACTAAGTTCTTACAGATCATGTCATGTATCATAAACTTCAGCAAAGGCCCTGTCTTGTGAGATGCTGAGAAAACCTTGGAGAAAAGGTATTTTCAGGTGATGTTGTACTTGCTGAAAGATGGAATCTCATGATCTTTAAAAACTGCATTTAGATACTTTTTTGTTGTAGTTGAGGGTAACTTGATTGGGAGCTGCTCTGGGATGTTCCTGTTTTGTTTGGTGGTTTCCCTGCCTGCAGTGTGTACTTCAATTTGGTTTTTGTCTTTTTTTTTTTTTTACCTAAGTGTGCATGACTTCAAGTACACTGTATAGCAAATGCCCTGCTAAAGAAACACTTGTATATATTGTGTATATTTTTGTATGGTATTCCAACGTGCTTGCATTGGTACAAATGGTTGTAAATGCCAAGAAGTGCCACTTGCCAGTGCTGCTGTGTTACCTGTATGCTGTTGTACAGCCACGCTGCTGAGTGTTGTGAGCAGTGTCTGCCTTTAGTCCTGCCTCAGGTACTCATGTGGAGCAGTTTGGTGCTTTTCCTTCTGACTTGTAATCCTTGGGATTCTCAGCAGAAAATAAAAGTAGTAAACAAAAAGCCTTGTGGTTGGAGCAGTGCTTTAACAGTGCTTCTTTCACACCTCAAGTACAGTGCAATGAAGATGGTTGGACAGACAGGGGGAAGCTTGGCTCAGTGTCTCAACCCCAACACCTTAGGCTTCCTAGCTGGGAAATGCAATAAAATTCAATGTGTGTGCTGAATAATACAGTTCATATAGAGCATCATATGTATAAAACTTGTTATTTTTTTAAATTTGTACATTTCAGAGGTGAATTGTGTAGAACTGAGCAAGCAATGGTATCAGCATTTTCATCTTCACAGCAATTTAATTCAAACATACATGAACATTACTTCCTGTGCCAGAAAGTTTATATAATTAGTATAGACACTTTGAAAATGTTTGATTTATTGAAGATGTTTATCAAGAAAACCTGATGCTTAAATTTGGGTGCATTAAAAAGGCAGCCCCCTGACATCTGGCTTTGACAGCATTTGTTAAATTTAGCTACTGTCCTCAAAAATGAGGTTGCAATTTAATTCAGTCAGTGTAAGTATACTAATAGTATTTTAATATGAATGTGCTCTGCTTATATTTGACTTTCACTGAAGTAAAGAATTGAAATTACTAAAAAAAGACCAATCCACACATTAAAATGAGCTATAGGTCTAAACAGACTTTTTAGCTCCTACAGTTTCTCAGAGCTTTTGCTCAGGAAGCCACAAGTGTGTATGGATTTTTTTCAGACAGCTCACAGAAAATATATGCTAATTGAGTCTTGCATATCTGCATGCTTCATCAGTCACCCACATTGCCTGAGTTCCTCCAGTAACAAAGCCCGTTTCATATTTGCAGATGACTTCAGTATGTTTTATTAACTGAATACACTGCATATCCTCAGTTCTTTGTAAAGAAATCAATGGAATAAATTAATTGAGGGGGAGAAAAGAGGTAGAAGAAAACTGCCAGCTCTTCTGGCTTTTTTTTCCCCCCTCCTCTTTCCAAAGATAAGGAACTAAAATCTAAAACCAAACTGTAAATCTTGCCTTTTCCCCTTTCTGTCATTTTCTCTACAGGAGCATATTTCTACTTCTAGCTGAAATAAGTATCTACCTAGAATATCAACAAAGACAGTTCCTTTATGCTGGGACCTGCATTTTTTGTGGTTTTTCTGGTCTGTTTTGGTTTTCTACTGCTCTGTTCTTGATGAGATGAGTCCAGTATCTGGAAGCTGAGTGTAATGAAACATAATTGATGTGGCTTAATGGATTTTCTTTTTTGTGTGTATGATTTTTTTAAAACTTCAAATATGCAGAATAATAAACAAGCTGGATAAGTTGTCTTGATTTTTTACATATTACTGTAGTCACAAAAATAAGCTGCTGTATTAGCAGAAGGGAGTAAAACAGAAACAAGTGCTAACTGTGGAGTTATCAAGTGTCCTCCCCTTGGCCAGTGCATATCCTGGGGACATCTGGGTTTCTTTGTCATCTTTGGCAATGGAAGACTTGGTGCTTGGGATCAGCTTGAAAATAACACTGCTAGGATTTTGTTTACTGTGTTGCTAATGATATTTGGATGTCCAAAACTTCACCTTCCTGGAAGGGTGGTGGCAGGTATTTATTTTGCTTTCAAAATTTAAACCAAAGAAAAATGTAAAGCTTCTAGTCAGACACAAACATCTACACTCTGGAGTAAGGTGGTGGTCAAATATTTTTAATTTTAACATGTCTATTTAGGGATATATGTGATGCTAAATCATGTATCATCTACATAGCAGAGAGAAGAGTGCAGTGAAATAATAAAAAATGTGAGCAGCTTTGATATGAAGAATGCTGTGCACTAAAGCCAGGGTAAATTAGCAGAGTCCTCCTTGCAGCATTTGTCTTAGTTTATAGTGTGACAGGAGGATATTAACTGCTGATAAAATCAGGGTAAGAAAGCAATGCTTCCATTGAAATGTTATGATTTTGGATATTGAAGCAGACCTTACTTTTCCCTCTCTTTTTCCAGCATCAAGAGAGTGATCCATATCTCATTTACTTGAAAACCATTAGTCACCATTCTAGAGAGACAGCTAATTACTTTTAACTAAAAATAATATTTTGATAAAGCTGTGCCATTTCTCCTGGGAATTGTTTTAAACTTCCTGCATGCCTACTACCAATTTCTGCAATACAGATTGGGAGGAATTTGTGCTGCACTCTTCAATAGCAACAGGTCTGAAGAGTACCAAGGATGAAATTCTCAAGGGTCTTTATGTCATGGTTGGAAATGGAATCATTACTGTATTTTTGAGCTCCTGCTAACGTCATTGACACCCACCTACAGTCTACTAGAAATATAAGTGCAGAGATCAGGTTGTTCACAGATTACGAGGAGACCAACCAAGAAGGGGCAAGCCAAAGCCAAATTCCCTGGTAAGCTCTATTTTAAAGAATGTGAGAGGGAGAATTCCTTTTCTCCCCCTGAGTCAAGTTGTGAAATGGATCTCTAGTATGTTAGACCAGGCTGTATTAAATACCATTGCACTTGTTATTATATGTAGTAAAATGTAATGCAGTTTTATAAAACTGAGCTCTCTGGATCCTGAGTCACATTTTTGCATTTTCCTTGGAGCATGCAGAGCTCTGGTGCTGTATTAGCCACTGAAAATGGCTTTATGTAATTAATGTGAACTTACAAATGTAATATTTTGTGTTGAGTGTTCTGCTGGTCCCTCAGAAGAGAGTCCAGTGTCTAGAAATAGCTTTGGTATGGGAAACACTTGTTTAGAACAATTTGTCCTCCTGAGGACCTTAGTACTATGAAAACAAAGAGTTGCTAGCACATGGGTGTAAGCTGCAGTGGGCAGACTTTGCTTGGATTCCCATGCTTTGTGTGCTGCCAGTGACAGCCATGTGGGATGTAAGGAGTATGTGTGTCTGCCCTTCTTACAGGCAGTCTGTTCATCTCCAGCATGTGGAAAGGGCTGCTCCTGGGTCTGTGTGTAGTATTGGCTGTGAGAGGACTGGCAAAGGGGGCTCCTTTCCAACCAGAAGATAAATGGAAGCCTCTTGATAACCCCAGAAACAGAGACCTGGTAAGGAAATGTTTCAAGAAGGAGAGCTGAAGTTCTGTGTGGTTTTTTTGTTTTCCATGAAGAGACTCCTTATTGTCTAAATTTAAAGGCAAGAGGGGGCCATTAGATGTAATGTTAGGAGCTGTGCACTTTGTATGGTCAATAACCATTTCTCAGTCAAGATGTACCCCTTAACTGAAGAGACATTGTCAGAGCACAGTAGTGCTCAAAATGTGCTTATATCTCCATTCAGCAGCTTTCATTTTTAAAAAATTATTTTGATTATACAGCCATTTGTTTTGTGAAACAGAAGAGGAATGATTACTGTGTTTCTTTCAGATGTGTGCTCTGATTGCATGTTGTTTCATCTCATGGAAGTACAAATAAGTTTGCATCTGACAGCTATGAAAATACCACTCAGAGAACACTTGCACAATCTTAAAAAGAGTTTGTGAAGGAAAAGAATTGGTTTCCTGTAATATTTCCTCAGTATTTTAAGAAGCTTTAATTTCTCCTTGGAAGTGATTGCTGGGGAACAGTTCGAATCAATTGCCCATTGTTGCTGACTCCTACTGGAATGTTTCCAGAGGTGTCCTGTTTGCTGCCAGCAGGGGCTTGGCTGTGCCTGTTTTCCAACGGTGCAGTTGTCTCTCAGCCCCCGTGGGTCAGTGGGGAGCATAAACGAGCAGGACACAGTTGCTGCTCTTCTGACTTCTCACAAGATGCACAAGCCATGGATGGAGTGGGCAAGTCTCAGTTAGGTTGCCTACACTGTGTCAGGTTATGATCAGAACTGAGGATTTCATCCCACAGAGGAAAAACATTTCATCTAATTTGTGTCAGGAGAAATAATTAATCTCCATGGGTCATGCTCTGTTTATTCTCACATCCACAATCTGCTCAGTTTTTCAGAACACTCCAGGCTTACTTCTCGGGCAGGGGTCTGGATCTCAGGAAGTTCCCAGCCACTTTCACTGTGAACAATGAAGGACCAAGGCTCTACTCAGATCCTATTGCTTCTGCATTTGCAGATTATGAAGAAAAGAAAAAATCCTTTCAGAACTATTTCAAAGGCTGAAAGATTCTGCTGATGAAGGTAAAAGAGGGTGCCTTGTCCTCTGATGTTATGTGTAATCAAGATTCTGAGTGAAGTAGAGAAGCAACTTCTTTCTCAGAAGGAATTAAAAATGTAGTACCTTGACCCTTGCCTGAAGTGGGGTTTAAAATTCTTGATGCAGAGATTTATGAGGTCATTACTACTTAGATAAAATAACACAGGGTCATTGTGCAGACCTCTATAGACCCTGATTTTTTTTGTTTTCTCTTTTTTCTCCCCTCCTTCATATGGAGGAGAATTCTGAAAATTCTAGTAATAGGGGATGCAGGTTTCATGAAAAGAGTAAGATTACAAATTGTGATTAATGGTTTTGTGTGATACAAGTATATTAAGAAAATTAATTAGCATAAGTTATTGCACTAACAAAGCATACATTCTCCTTTACATTCACAGTAAATATTGTTTTCTTCTGGTTTACAAATAGCTGAGAATTTCAGTAAGATTTAAATCCAAGCATTTTGGTGATTTACTCAGTATCTTAAAGTGCTTAAGTTGTAATCAATATTCAGCTTAGGATTTCCAGCTCTGTCCTGTTCTTGTCCTGTTTAACACCTTGTCTGTTTATCATCAAAATCAAAGCTTTATTCTTACTATCATGAACCATAATAAAGACTGCACTCAAATTTTAATACTAAATTCTCTTTTTCTGAGTTAGGTAATGAAAAATAGAGGCACCACAGAATGTGTATTTTATGCACAAAAAAAATGAAAAGGGAATTCAGAAGGGATGCTCTACTATACATCACAGCAGCAGTGAGAAAATGACTGGTGGAAGTTTTGTCCTGCATAATTCAGGACGCTTGTGGTAGTTCTTTTCAGTGTTCAGAACTGTTTTCAGGGAACAGAGGTTCAGCCAGTGTTTTTTTTGTCTTGGTTTGGATCATACCTTGGTTGCATATGGATTTTTGTATTAGTCTCACGTATTGGTATTTTTTGTCTTTTTTAGGCATTAACTTCAGAAGTCCATGCCAAGTGGAAACCTTCACAACAAAATTTTACTGCTTTGACTTTTTAACTGTTACCTGACAATTCCAAAGTTTCTTCACTGTCCCCATTTCTGCCAATAGAATCTGGTGTCCTGCTGCAATAAGCATTATTCTGTCTGTTGACAAATGTGTGCTACTGCAGTCTGTGAGCAGAATTGTGCTTAAGTGTGAATAAACGGGGAGTGCATTCAACCACTGCCGAGTGTCTTTGTTCAAAAAATAAACCTTCCCCTTCCCTGGGAAATAAACCTTCCCTTTCAGTTTATTAGCACATGTCCCCGGGTGTTCTGTGCCAAGTGTTCACATCTCCTGTGGGTACAGTCCCGTCCTTGGTGGCCCCCTGGCTGCTGGTGCCTCACCCGGCGCCGCACGCCCTTTTCCGACCCTGCCGTGCTCACAACTTCCCCCTCACCCTGAGTTCGGAGTT